CAGCTGGAGTATTGTCTATTGTTGCCTGTAATTGTCTGTAGAATTCTTCTTTCTTTTCGAGGTCTGCGTTGTTTGTGGGTGCATAACATTGTATAATTGACACTTTCCTTCCTTTGGAGTTGAATCTGGCGGTCATTATCCTAGACGAAATCGCCTCCCATTGAATCAGGGCTGTCGTTGACGTTGGTGACATCATGATAGCCACGCCCTCGGTGTGCATGTGGTTATCTTCTGGGTGACCGGAGTAGATCACTGACTCACCCGTTGACAATTTGGTGAGTCCATTCCCACTCCCACAGACTTTTTCTTTTGGTGCAAAGAGGTTCATCGTGCTGAAGTTTCTGTAGCAATTTGTTTACAGCGTAGGGTTGCTAGCGTCACGCCTGAGAAAGGAATGGTTACATTAAGATAAAGTCTAGAGAGAAGCAACCTTTTGGGTCGCTCCCCTTAAAATCATATAACAAGGGATAAAACAATCAGAACAACACCAGCAAAAGGAAAACAATTCACAGCAAAAAGGACAAAAGCGACAACAACGATACAATACAACAACATGCAATATAGTTCAGCACAGTTAACTAAAATGATACCAAAACCCTGGACTCAATGACTTGGGCCAACTTGAACATATAAATCCAATAATATATACAATTATAGATATGAGTGATTGTTACAAAACACAAATGTCCAATAACTTTGTTATAGGTATTAGTAGTCAATAATAGTATATCCAGGGTTTAAGCGTTCGAAAGTTAATGGAATTCAATAACTTCCAGAACTTCGTGATGAGCAATAACAAAGAAATGAGAGTTTTAAATATTACAGCAAAATGTAACGCACTGATCGAAAAGCGCGCCCAAAAAGCCGTGTCTATGATACCGATTTAGAATTCTAAAACTTTTCCTACGTGTTGTTTTATGCGATATGACATTAGTTTTCGTAGAGAATAATAAAAGGGAATAATATATAATTGTCAGAATGCATGAATTATTAAATTACAACTGAAAATGTTGAGTTGTTCCAGAAAGTTTCCACTTATTTATGTAATAAGCAACTTGACAAATGTTCCCAGAAATCAATACGACATCAGACGATCAGTGGAGATTTGTAGAACAACTTCGGCTGAAATATGAGACATTTGGTGAACTTCCTTTCACAGTGTCATTGGCCTTTTTATTGACACTATGAAAATGAATACTTGTCTTTGCAGACTTTTTGCAGAAATTCAATTACTTTAATTTCAGCAAATTACGTTGTGGTGCTGGATAAGTCAGCGGCATTTTCTTGATAGAACAAAGCTCAGACAAACACCTATTTTCCGTAGTTAACCGTTATCCTTCGGTTGGATATAACAAGATATTAGTCTCAGACTTTTCAAACTAGTGCGGTTAATGTGTGTGAATTAAAGGACCGTACTGAAGATGACTGTAATCTCAGTCATTAGCTATATTACAATACCACGTGCCAGCTGTTCCACGACAAAATCTCAGCGAAGCATTCAGAGGGAATACAAGAGTAAGACAACTTAGGTGAATTACATGGCTGTAACAGACGAGCTAGTTGATGATTCAGCCAATGGTACAGAATAAAATGTTCTCAGAAGAACGAATAGTGGTAGCATGTAACTGATGGTGAGGAATAAAGAGTGTCAGCTAATAACAGGAAAGGGAAAGGACTTTCTATTAAGGTAACACTTCAGATAGTTTTTTGACATTGTTGTCCATTTGAATATTTTTGTGTCAAAATATGTGCTTTCAGTGAGATACACTCAGTTTATAACAAGAAATTTCACATCTAAAAGGTCAGTAGCAAATTCTTCTATTGCAGAATATGTAGAATAAACTCTTAAGACAGCGAATCTTAAGATATGTCGTTCAATACTCGTTGAAAATGTGAATAATAATGCTGGTTAGCCTTCAGTTAGAATAAAAAAGCAAAGTAAGGGATAAGCGTAGTGACTGTTGTCACATTCTTTGTGTTGAGAGCCGCACTGCATAGGTCTCACACTTTCAGAGCTAAGTTTAAAATGTAATTGGCTTTAGGAATTTCCTCTTAGTATCACAGATGATGCTGTTCATTGCTCCTAGAAGAATTATTGTCTTTTAATTCAAAGTATGGTTGTGTTGATCGGTCGATGGGAAGGTGTGATATGTATTATGGAAAGCTTCGCTGGATATCCATTTTTTTGAATTTTATCTTCGAAAGATGCTTGCCTTCTATTCCTTTCAGAATAAGCGCACTGTGTCATTTTATCTCACCCACAACTTTTATCCGAGTGCACCTTTGTGTGTGAGTAATTATTAACGATTGCTAATAGAATGGAGTAAGTATTTGATGCATCTAAATTTCGCTTCCCGTATGAATGAGTTTCTAAATTTTCCCTTATCTGTTGTCCCGGTCAAGAGTGAAAGTACAGAATTCTTTTGTCTGATTTCTCCTCTCTATTCTATTTGATATCATTGTTAGTTGTTGTCAGAGGATTCTTCGATTGAACACTAGTCAGTACCTAGTGAAATGTGTCTAGTCGTATCTATGGTGCAGACTGAATTCGATCAATCAAATGTGCAATGTGCCATGACGCCAGTTACTCTCTAGTGTTCAGTCAAAGTAACCATTACCCGTCCTACATGAGGTCAGTGGCTAGGTTGAACAGCTCACTGTTAACATCTCTGACTGCAACCATAAGTCAATGGGTGTCATGGGTTCGAATCTCACAAGGAAGATATAAATTTTTATCATATATAACTGTAGACATGCATTACTGACTGGTGATTGATAAAAAGCATGAAACCTATTTCCAACCCTCCCTTCTGATTACTTCCAACCACGCCCTGATACCAGAGCATTCATAGAGGTAGGGTAATCAGATAACAAACAAGTTAAGGAGTATGCCAACATAGGCCTGACTTATCACATGAAAGATAATAATAATAATAATAACAGCTTTATTCCAAACAGTATTTGTGGTACAGGTATGGAATTTTCAGCGTGCATTACAGTATATTGCATCTAATTACCTCATAAATTATATAAGATTTTTAAAAATCAAAAATAAATAAAAATAAAATAAATAAGTTATAAATAAATAAAAATAAATAAATATTAAAAATTAAGAAGAAAAAAAACAGCGTAGAGTATTTCATTTCAAACAATGCACCACAGGATTTGAAATATAAAGTTGATGTGTGGTTGTAGATAAGAACAACAGTGTAATAGTAACGAGGAAAGGAAAACAAAGACTAATAGGACTATTTGTTAGAGTTCCGCAGTAAGTTTATCGTGTCATACCTAACGGATTTCTCATCACATAACAGCTGTGCCAGATATGGTATTGTGGAGTTTTTGTATTTGGTAGTCCTAGCATATAGCCTCCTATAGCTGCTTCTAGTTCTTCCAGATGAAATGCAAGGAGACAGCTGCGTATAGATAGGATGCTTGGGGTCTGACAATATTGTGTTAGTTAGTTTCTTACATGACATTATATGTCCATCCACAATAGTGTTAACCAGTTGGTTTAACGATATCCCACTTGCCCTACTAACGACTTTTAGTGCCCTTCTCAGCAAAGCAAAGTCTTTCTTAAGTAGTCCAGGAAAGACTAATGGGGAGCAGTAAAGAGGGATGGGTAGAATACAAGAATTTACAAACTGAGAGAGCAAAGACTGCTGTATGCCAGACTGCCTAAATTTCCTAATGTAGAACGTTAAGCGAAACATCTTTCTAGTAACTAGCAAGATGTGGGAAGACCAGGAAAGATCGATGGAAAAACTCAGCCCAAGGTACTTGACATTAGATGTATTTTCAACCTCTGTGCCGTCAATGAGAGTGGGGCCATGTGAGCTAACTAGTTGCTGTAGGTCACATTTACGTCTGAAAGTGAAATTGACTACCTGACATTTAGACGGATTAAGCTTAAGTCCGTTTGAAGAGGACCACTGACTAATTTCCGACAGAAAGCTATTTAATTTGGAACAATCTGACTGAGAGTTGACAGGCATAGAGACCGAGAGGTCATCGGCATACTTAACAAAAGTGGCTACATCAGAATGAGGCAAGTCATGTAAGAAAAACGAAAACAGAAAGGGAGAAAGAACAGCACCTTGAGGAACACCAGCTAAAGTAAGTGAGGTAGTGGAGGATTTTCCATTGTAGACGGTGTACTGCTTCCTTTCAGAAAAATAGGAATGCAACCACTTATTTGTCCAGCTTTCAGCCTGTGTTGCAGCAAGCTTACTTAGCAAGAGAGACCTGGGAACAGAGTCAAATGCAGATGTGTAATCAAGGAAGGCACAGCGAACGTATTTAGCCCCTTTATCTAAACTAGAGACTATGCTATGGTGGAGGACGACAGCGGCATCTAACGTACTCCTACTATGTTTATAAGCAAACTGGTTGGGGTCGTTGAAAGGTTTTAAAGAGGGATCAAGATTAAGTAAAATAAGTCTTTCCATAACTTTCAAGAAGGGTGAGGTAATTGAAATAGGTCTAAACTTAACATTAGGTCCACTTGTAGATTTAGGCACTGGAACGATCTTGATGTTTTTCCATGATTCAGGTATAATACTTTTGGAAAACGATTCGTTGAAAATGTCAGTTAGCGGGGAACACAAGATGTCGGCACACTTCTTAAGGATAACAGCAGGAACACCATCAGGACCGAGGGACTGAGTAGGCTTGAGAGATTGAAGACACTTGAGGACAAGTCACACACACCAAACAACTCAACAAGAGTAAGAACACAAATAAAATCAATATTTTGGAAAGTTTTATTGATTTTTATTTGATTCCAGCTTTGTCATGAGGAAGATATTAGAAAACAGACGAAAGCTTTTCAATTATTATAGAGTTTGTTCATTGTTTTAATCAAAGAAGGAATTATCAGCAGTTATAAAATTTGATTATTTTCTTTGAATTTTAAAAGTCATCTATAATTTTTCCATGCAATACCAACTTTAAGAGTCTTTGAAATATCAAGACAATACGGCGTGAACATTGACATCTCACAAAGAATTAATTGTAATGAAGGTTATCTGAAAATGAAGAGGAAAGTAATCCAGGTGATGAATAATAGATGCCTAAAATGACAATGATCAATTTTTTTCCCAATGAATTTAAATCAACAGGGTATTTGGGAATTTATTTAACATAACTGAGTGATTGAGATCAACAACTGTCATTCTGTCATCCACTGAACTGCCAATATTACTCGGTTTGACTTGGCTCAGAGAGCTGAATCATTTCACGCAACCTGATTTCTAGCTGGCTACTTGAATACAAGCTGAGTTATGAAGAAAATAAAAGACATTTTGGTGAATAAAATCGATGAAATCATCTTCAGTGGCTGTAAAGTCATATTTATATTTACCGAAAATGTATAGTAGTGCATTAAATGAGTAATAGAGTACCTAGTAAAACAACCGATATAATGGTTCAGAAGTGTCTCCAAAAGTAAAAATAGAAGTTGTAAATTACGTTATACTCAATAATGGTACAAAGGAAGAAAGTAATAGAAATTTGATAAGGTTGAAATTGTTATTGAGTAGTGAGAAAAAAGGTTAGTTGAGTGTCCACTTAACAAGTGTGAAGAGGGCAAGAAAACGCACAAAGGGGAAAATATGAGAGTGACAGTTATGAACTAATTAATAAAGTAAAATTAAAGTGATTGTTCAAAATAGAATATAAAGAATATACAGGGAACGACCAGTGAAAAAGTTAAGACCATGGTAGAATAACTGAGTGGACAATTCTTATATTGACAAATTTCCAACGCCTCCACCGTTCACAAATGCCAAAACCTGACCCCCTGCATCCTATTTGGCCTCACCTTGTAGATAATCTTGGAAGATGGCTCTGTTGTAGCTATGTGGCTTGAGTTCACCAACTGCTCGTGAACTGAGGGATTAACTGTCTTGCTTTGTCCTTTTCCTAATCATGCAGGATTATTTTCAGGGATAAGTTTGGAAACCGTGTACGCATGGTGTGGCCAATATAACTAGGTTCGCAGGAGCGAGTGAAGTGACCTAAAAGGTCAGTTTAACCTTCACACAACTACTGATTATTTCTCGACTATATAAACTGATCCATAGCTCAGCCGAAAAGAGGATCGATCTGGTCAGTGATCTGGATAAGCCGTGGTTTTTCAGAATATCAGCTGTGGTATATACAACCTTTAAATTCAATGTTCAGGCTTTTGCTTAAACTTCATTTGTTTCCGGATGAATCTTGGCGAATATCCATTTTCCATGAGGACTAGTCTGAGTTTCTTCAGATCCTCATCAACTTTATCCCTCGTACATATCCTTCTTATTCTTCAGCATAAGGAATGTGATCGAACTTCTTTTTCCTCTAGAAGAGACGCACCCATGAAAAGGCTTGTACTGACCATTCCATTTTGATTTCCTGTTAACTGATCTTTGTAGAGAACCGTCTTATCTCTTGCCTAGTTTAACATCCAAAACATGAATTCCTGAGTTGATCTCTTATTCTGATGTGATCTTGATAGCATAATGGTAGCTGTTGAACACCCCAGTTATCACCTTGATGATGACATTCTCGTCACATATGATGAAAGAATACAATACACTTTTGATAAATACAAATACGTCTGTTTGGCCTCTAAAGATGATTTCGTCGATAAAAGAAAAGTAATTCCCATTTTAAAAATTAGTTTGAAGTTTATTCATTTGATCACAGTTCCCATCTGACCATAACACATATTCCAGTCACACAAAATATGTGATCTTCTTGATACCGAGAGGAGTAGTCTCGAAAGCAAGCATAAATGCATAGAACTATCAGCCATTGTAATCAGCTGGCATGAACTGTCTCAGCTCGTTGAACCAACTAAAAAAAGAGCACACCACTGACAAGCTGGACCCAAACTGCACGAAAAAGCAGTCTGGTGCTAAGTTCACCTATACATGGTTAACAGTTAAGCACTTCCAGTTGATAGGAGTACTGTAGAACTACTTGTCTCACCTAATCAGTAGTATATAGTTTATTTCTTTTTTTCACTTGGTTTATTGATTATCATTCATAATATCAACCAGACCACATATTGAGATCTGAATAATTTTCTAGATCAACGTTCAGGCAAATCATACCACGAACTGTTTGCGTATTTCGAATCAAATAGACACATTCAAATATGGAAAAATCTACCGATGGCTTGTGTTTCAAGGTTTTGACACGCTAGTGATATTGGTGCTTATCCTTGAATTGATATAAGAAGTGGCTTGAAGGCTGATTTATCAGATTTCTTGAATGCTATTGCTAATTACTAGCGCTTGTCTATATAATTCCACGAAAGAACTGATAATCCCTTGGCGATTTATTCTTGTCAGTCAATACTTCTGCCAGCGGCTTTGTCAATGAGATATTATAGCTTACGACTGATTCATTGGAAGACTCCAATAGTTACCTTTACTGTTTAATATAGCAATAAGTAAAAACTCTTTCGTGGATGATGACTGGAGTAAAGTCGTCCTGTTTTAGACTCTTCATCTGGATATACCTGCAACTTCTATTAAGTTATGGTGTTTTTTTAACTAGACTGGAACCAAGCAGCCTGCTTGAGCTACAAGGGCCTGCTCTTTTGTGACTGGTCTAAGTCCATTTACAGCTGACTAATTTTATTACTGAGAGTCCAGGTACATCCAGCTTTTGAGACTCAAATTCAAGGAAACATTTAGCCTGGATTCAACATCAAGTTACCGTCCATCACAAACTCAAAATGTCCTTAATGAGAGCCGACAAGTTAACACAGACAGAGGTTTCCGTCTGGCATATCTCATTTTAAAACTAACAAAGTGAATTTCAACTTACGATACATGCACCTGCACACCAGCAAATCTCAGCTAGGGCTTGAAAATTGCGCTAAAAGAATAAAAAATAAAAGTTATGTAAGAATATTTGAAACCAATAGTTTGAAATGCCAGTAATCGAATCATTCTATTCTTTCTTCACTTGTCACTGCACACAACTTAATACTGATGATTACATAACAGTAGTGAAACGCTCATCAGTAGCGTTTACTACATTGGTGAATCATTGTGCATTCAGAAACGTATAAAAGAGTTTGTAATTGGTTACAGGATTTCATCATGAACTGATACTGGTTAGAGGACCATTGGAAAACCCACCAGGAGTACTGGACAGCCAGCTGCTTTGTCGGTCTAGTGTGGAACTCTTAAGCAGTACGCCGCCAAGGGTTTGAACCCACAATCTTCTGATTACAAAGCCAGCAAGCTTGTAGACTGCTCAGCCGTTGGAACCCAATCCGATGGTTAGCCTATCAATTTCAACTTCTTCTAATTCATCATATAGCGGGACTACTAGTGAATGTCATCAGCAAAGTTGGAATTCATGGATGGGTGAATGAGGTCTACAAGCTCGCTTTGTAACCAGAAGGTCGCGGGTTCCACTTTTTGGTGTTGATCGCGTGTTGAGAAAGACCGCTGACATTAGTGCTGGCTGTCCAGTACTTCCTGGTGCGTTTTCCAATGTTTCTCTAATTGAAGTGAACTCATGATGACATCCTGTAGCCAATCAATCAATCAATCAAATCTCTATTCCAAGGCCTCGATATCACTACTATAACTTTGGTATAAACACTGCTGCCTTAATTCTTATTATTGGCCTTTGATCCTGTTTAATCTCTCCTTTTAATGCTCCTCATTTTAGTTCTCTGGTGATATTTATAGCTTCTTGCATTAGGACTGTGACTTTTTTGAATGCAGTGAAGTTTGTCTGTGAAGATATTGACATTGAACTACCTGTTTGAAGTGTTTGGTGATTGAATTTAGATTGAAGTGTATAACTTGAGCACTGTGACAGATTATAATTTCATACTGGATACGTTTATTTAAAATATCGCGCAAACCATGCAGTATTACCAAGGGGATAACTTTTTGAGCATTTCAATTTGTTTACTAGGCTTAACAATTTGGCCTTATATACATTTTCTCACTTTGTGTCTCTATAACTTCCATTTATTGTTTTATGGCGCCTTCCATATCTATAGAATAGGCAAGGCCTCATTTTAATAATAATATTAATAATAATTTACTTTATTCCAAAACAGTACTTGTGATACAGAATGGAATTCTCAGCAATTTTACTACAGTATTGCATCCAGTTAGTACATTATCAATAAATAAATAAAATTCTACATAGATTAAGGGTAATCTCAGTTCATTATGACAACAACATATTGGCATATCGGTAGCAAAGTCAAAAATTGAACAGAATGTTTGAATGTGTTCGAAAAGTAGATGGTAGAATATTTACTGGCGTAAGCAGAAGAAAGAAACCAAGGAGCAAATAACACAGAAAAAAAGACAAGAAAGGAAAGGAAAGAAAGAAAAAGTTGTACTTATAAAAGATATGAATTGGAAAGACGAGATCCAGTTGTTCTACTGACTATTTAATAAGAAGTTATAGGTATCACGCCTTACGCTTTCTTTATCGCACAGAACACGAGCTAAGTAGGGTATAGTTAAGTTTTCGTATTTACTAGTGCGAGCATAATAGTTTTCTATATAGGCTTCTAGTTCCGCCTGAGGTGATACAAGGGGAGAGTTGTGAATGAAAAGAGTGGTTTGAATGGATTTAGCCCACTTTTTTCACATGAGTCCATGTACCTGCCAACCAGAATATTAACAAGCTGGCTAAGTGACACGTTGCTTGCCATGCTGACAACCTCTAACATCCTGCGTAATAAGATATAGTCTTTATTCAGTAGCCATGGAAAAACTGAGGGGGAACAATAGAGAATGATAGCAGAATGCAAGAGTTAACGAAGGAGTAAGGGTTGAGTTATACCAGAATGTCTTAACTTCTTGATGTAGAAGGCAAGACGGAATATTTTCTTAGAAATCATCGAGATATGAGTCGACCAGTAAAGATCAGAAGATAGAGTGACGCCTAGGTATTTAATTTCAGACTTGGTTTCTATTTCAGTGCCATCAATGTTGCACACCTCGTGAGTGCTAGCCAGTTTGTTTAGGTCAGATTTATGCCTAAAGGTGAAACTGACTATTTGGTATTTAGAGGGATTTAAGGTGAGACCGATTTCCTTGGAACATTGGCTGATTTCTGATAAAAAGCCATTTAGTTTAGAGCAGTCACTTTGAAACTTTACAGGCAAAGATACAGTCCAGTCGTCAGCATATTTGACAAAAATAATGTCATTTGAAGATGGTAAGTCATGCAGAAAGAAAGAAAAGAGAAGTGGGTAGAGTACAGAACCTTGTGGGACACCAGCTTCAGTGAGCACAACAGAGGAGGATTTGCCTTTTTATACGGTATACTGCATTCGGTTAGAGAAGTAGGAATGCAACCAGTTTGTGACCCAGGACTCGGTGTCATGGAGAGCTTATTTAGCAAGAGATATCTAGGTACACAGTCGAAAGCAGAAGTGAAGTCAAGAAACGTGCAGCGGACATATTTGGCACCTTTGTCTAGTGATGAGACAATACTGTTGTGTAAGACGGCTGCAGCGTCTAAAGTACTCCTACCCTGTCTGTAGGAAAATTGTCTGCGGTCTTCGAAGGTTTTAAGGGAGGGTTCAAGTTTAAGAAGTACTAGTTTTTCCATGAGCTTTAGAAACGGGGAAGTGATGGCAATGAGTGTGACCTTTACGTTCTTGCTATTGCAAGCTTTAGGGACAGGGACTATTTTAATGTCTTTCCATGGAAAGTTTTTGGGGAAAGAAGCATTTAGGATGTTGGTAGGTGGAGAACATAAAGCATCTGCACATTGTTTTAGAACATATGCAGGAACACCATCAGGGCCAAGGCTGCGTGAGGGCTTAAGCGTTTTAAGGCATTTTAAACATCGAGTGTTAAAGTCATGAAAGTTATCAGCTACATGATTAGTAACGTTGGAAATAGTTTGTGACTGCATGTTTGCGATGTTAAAACGACGAAGGAAGTTTGTGGGATCAAACTCTGTGTCTCTTCAATTTATCGCCATATCACTTCCTAACACTCTCACTCAGTCCCACACACACACACACACACACACACACACACACCATTTTGTGACTGCATGCAAGGGAATTCAATGCAATCTCTAAGCACTTTTAATGGATTATTTCACCTAGCAGAGACAGTCATGCTTGGTCTCGTTAAATTGTTATTTTCCAACAGTTATTTTCTAACCCCGATCTACTAGTTTGACTGGACTATGTAATCAACCTCCTTCACAGTCATTTTATGGTTTGTGGCAAATAATGATATTTCTCTTCATTAGATTTGTTGGATCCTTAACCCGACAAAGTTTATCTCTGAGAGAGTTGTTTTTTTTTTGGTTGGTTCAAATGACAATCTAATTCCAGGTTCATAGAAAATCTTATGTAAAGCCTCTGACCTTCCTTCTTTGTAAGCTAGCTTGATAGAGGCTTCGAATTCCATGTGTATTATCGTCATTTGTATTGCTAGTCTTAGTTTTCTATAATTATTCATATATTTCAGGAGGAATTCTAATGTTTAGTTATTCACTGGTAATATTTTCTTTATTTGTTTGATTTCATTACTCAAAATAACGTCTTGCTTACCAGTGGACCTAATGTTACGTTTAGACCCATTGCTATTGCCTCATCTTTTTTGAGCGTTATGAAAAGACTTATTTTACCTAGTCTTGAACCCTCTTTAAAGCCTTTCAATGACCCCCACCAGTTTGCCTGTAAACATAGTAGGCGTGCCTTAGATGCCGCTGTTGTCCTACATTATAGCATAGTCTCTAGTTTAGATAAAGGAGTTAAATACGTTCGCTGTGCCTACCTTGATTACACTTCTGCATTTGACTCTGTTCCTAGGTCTCTCTTGCTAAGTAAGCTTGATGCAACACAGGCTGAGAGCTGGACAAATAAGTGGTTATATTCCTATTTTTCTGCTAGGAAGCAGTACACCGTCTACAATGGAAAGTCCTCCACTACCTCTCTTACTTTAGCTGGTGTTCCTCAAAGTGCCGTTCTTTCTCCTTTTCTGTTTTATTTTTTCTTACATGACTTGCCCCATTCTGATGTAGCCACTTTTGTTAAGTATGCCGATGACCTCTCTGTTTCTATGCCTGTCAACTTTCAGTCAGATTAATCCAAATTAAATAACTTTCTGTCAGAAATTAGTCAGTGGTCCTCTTCAAATGGTCTTAAGCTAAATCCGTCTAAATGTCAGGTAGTCAGTTTCACTTTCAGACGTAAACGTGACCTACAATAACTAGCTAGCTCACATGTCCCCACTATCATTTACGGCACAGAGGTTGAAAATACATCCAGTATCAAGTACCTTGGGCTGAGGTTTTCCATCAATCTTTCCTGGTCTTCCCACACCTTGCTAGTTACTAGAAAGACGTTTCGCTTAACGTTCTACATTAGGAAATTTAGGCAGTCTGGCATAAACCAGTCTTTACTTTCTCAGTTTGTAAATTCTTGTATTCTACCCATCCTCCTTTACTGCTCCCCATTAGTCTTTCCTGAACTACTTAAGAAAGACTTTGCTTTGCTGAGAAGGGCACTAAAAGCCGTTAGTAAGGCAAGTGGGATGTCGTTAAACCAACTGGTTAACACTATGTTGGATAGACATATAATGTCATGTAAGAAACTAACGAACACAATATTGTCAGACCCCAAGCATCCTATCTATACGCAGCTGTCTCCTTGCATTTCATCTGGTAGAACTCGAAGCAGCTATAGGAGGCTATATGCTAGGACTCCACAATACCATATCTGGCACAGCTGTTATGTGGTGATGAGAAATCCGTTGGGTAAGACACGACCAATTTACTGCGGAACTCTAACAAATAGTCCCATTAGTCATTGTTTTCCTTTTCTCGTTACTATTACACTGTTGTTGTCATCTTCTATTACACGCTAATTTTATATTTCATATCCTGTGGTGCATTGTTTGAAATGTAAACGCAACGCTGTTCTTTTATTTTAATTTTTTTTATTTGTCTTCTTTTTTGGGGTGTTGCTTTTTTGATTATAAAATCTTATAAAATTTATGAGATAAATAGATGCAATATACTGCAATACACGCTGAAAATTCCATACCTGTACCACAAATACTGTTTGGAATGAAGCTATTATTATTAGGCTCCTGGCCAGATGTATATAGGTACTTAACTGAACCTTTCTTTACCGTTTCTGGACGGCATGAATTAAAGTCTAAGTGTTTACTTTTTAATGGCAGAGTTTTGAATCAACCTTGTTGGAAATATTACACCTGATACTCAGATGGTTCATACAGTTGATTTGTGGTTAAGTAATTTTTTTGTTCTACATTACTTGTTGTGTGTGCTGAAGTATCCTCTGTATTTAATAATTGCCTGATGAGTTCATTTAGATGATTTTACGGTTTCTGATACGTCGAAATTTTTAAAACAGGACAACGAATTTTAGCGCAAATTAACTGTTATCAAGCTGCAATCAGGTTAGTTAAGAAAGTTTTGGCTGCTACACACATAAGACGTCGAAGAATAATCTCTAGAATACGAGCGCGCTCATCGCTTTACCACTGACGCCATTCGCAATATTGACACTGATGTGAATATCTCAACTAAGTTTGTAATTGGTTACGAGATTTGATAATAAGTTGACATTGGTAAGAGAAACATTGGAAAACTCATCAAGAAGTACTGGACAGCTGTTTTGTTAGACTAATTCTGGATAATTCAGCAGTACACATCCACCACCAGGAGTTCGAACCCACAACCTTTTGGTTACAAGACGAGCAAGTTCGTAGACCGTTCAGCTACTGAGACCTGATCCAATATTCCACGAATCCCAACTTCTGCAAATTCGAAAAATGTACCGACCACTAGAGAATGTCATCAGCAAAGATGGAATTTATTGGTTGGCCATTGGATTGGGTCCCCGTGACTTAACGGTCTACGAGCTCGCCTTGTTATCAGAAGGTTGTTGGTTTCGAAAGCCTGTTGGTAGGTGCGTACTGCTGAATACTGTGACCTTAGGCTGACATAACTGCTGGCTGTCCACTAATGCCTAGTGAGTTTTCCAGTGTTTCTCTGACCTATGTCAACTCATGATGAAATTCTGTAATCCACCAATCAAATCCCCACCCCAAGGCCTTGATATAACTACCAGAGCTTTGACATATCAACTGCTGCCTTAATCCTTATTACAAGTCTTTGTTCCTGTTTATTCTCTCCCTTTAATGCTCCTCTTTTCGTTGTGTGATGACAGTGACAGTTTGTTGTATTACGACTTCAACTTTTGCGAATGAAGTCAAGGCTGTATGTGTAGATTTTGACATTAAACTGTCTCTAGGAAATGTTTGGTGATTGATTTTATATTAAAGTGTAGAACTTGGGCATTGTCGTAGAATGTAATTCCTTATTAGATAAGTTTATTTCAAAAATATCATACAGAGATGTAGTAGTATCACCAACTTGATGACATTTTGAGCATATCAGTTTGGTAACAGAGCTTAACCATATTGTTTTATACACATTTTCTCTATTTCTTTCTCTATAACTTCCATTTGCTGTTTGTTGCCGCCTTCTAGATCTCTGTAAAATACATTGTCTCATTTCGATTGCACGTATGCAATGTTGAGAATACAAACAAATCTTCATGCAAATTAATCCAGTGAAATGACTGGGCATTTTTGTCATTTCATTTTTGTCAGTTGTATTGCTAATCTCCGAATAAATTCTGGTGGGTTGTTATTCACTGGTAAGATTTTCTTTAATTGTTTGGTTTCATTATTTGGAAAGCCTCTGGCTTACTAGTTAGGCTCCTGACCAGATGTATTAAGGCATTTAACTAAACCTATCTGTGCCAATTCTGGATGGCATGAATTAAAGTCTAAGTGTATAATTCTTGATTGACAGAGTATTGAATCCACATTGTTGGAAATATTCCACTTGATACTCAGATGCTTTTTTACAGTTCATTTTCGGTGAACTAATTTTTTGCTCTACATTACTTGTGTTGTACTGGAGAATTCCTTGATTGATGTTGTTGTTCGACGACATTATTGAGCTTTTGATATGTTATTACCGTTGAACAGCACAATGGATCCTAGCCCAAATAACTATTATTTAGTTTTCATCAGGTTAGTCAAGAAAGTTTCGGTTGCTACACACATAAGACGTCGAAGGATAGTCTCTAGATTACAGACCACAACACATCGATTCCAGCCGTTGAGGCTTTCATTTTCGACATTTTTCAAAAGGTTCAGTCTAATCAACCCCATTTAATACACTTCTAAACAATCGTGGATCTTTGACACTAGACAGTGAAACATCCATGAGATCTGAACAGAAGCATATTGAACAAGTTCAGAGAAAAAGAACAACAACAACACGAAGAGTGGAGTTATTTTGTCTTCTTAGCGGCTTAAGTGAGTTATGTTCAAAATATGAAATAGGAAAAAAATTGTAAAGTACTTCATCACTTACTATAGGTGCGATGCTTATTGAAAGATAAAACAGCACTGTTCCTATCAAATCGATCATCATTGACATGATAAAAAGTAGTATAGACACTGACTTCTTAAGCTGGCGGATTGTTATTCCAAGCGTAACTGCTAAGGCATTCAATACAATACAGATAATGAGTACGATGTACTTGGTTTCTGGAAGTAAATAAGCGAATGCTATACAGATGGCAAAACACCATAACAGACTCTGAAAAACAAAGGCAGAAATGTATTTTTTTATGTAGAAGAGAGGCGGGATAATGATTTTTCAAGACTTTCGTAATAGAGTTAATTATTGTATTGTATTGTAATTATTGTATTATCCGGATATTACAGCAGATCTCACTTTAATATCTTCTCATATCTGTCCAAAATACACAGCAAAGGTGTTACTCAAAGAGGAAAGTGCTCAAACTAAGATGTACGCTAAATGATACTAACTGGGAACTTTTCAACGAACTATCTTAAATTCTGGCTCGATATATGCTGTCCAAAAGAGATCATTCTCAAAAGAATGGATCGTTTTGCTTCCCCTCATCTCAAAAAACTTCGTAGAGAAAAAGAGAAGCTGTACAAGACAAAGAATAAATCTGGTCTTAAGAAGATAAACACCCAAATTAAATCTGAAATCAAGAGACTAAACAACATTTATAATCAAACAATACTATCTTGTAAAACTCAGAAAACATATGGAAGCTTTTTAGAGAAATTACTGGTTGTGGTAAGCATAATAATTTTGCTTCTTCTATTGATGTAAATACTCTCACAGATCTTTCATCCGCCATTTTGCCTTCAATTTAACTAATAACACGACCAGTGACTTTCATCGTTTCAATACTTCTGATGTTCTTAAATGTTTGAAATCTCTTAAACCTTCCCAGAGTCTAGGCCCTGATGGTATACCTGCCATTGTTCTAAAGAAATGTGCTGATATTTTAAGTAACCCACTTACAAGCATTTTCAATACTTCTTTTTCTAATAATGTTGTACCTTCTCTGTGGAAAGATATTAAAATCATCCCTGTACCCAAGTCTGGTTCTGGAGATAGTGTTAAGTTTAGACCAATTGCCATTACCTCTCCTTTTTTGAAACTGATGGAGAAATTACTGTTACAAAAACTCATTCCCTCCCTAAGCTTCTCAAATGATCCAAAGCAGTTTGCTTACAAACAGGGTAGAAGTACTTTGGATGCTGCTGCTGTGTTTCATCACAACATTGTATCCTCCTTAGACAAAGGGGCCAAGTATGTCCGTTGTACTTTCCTTGATTACACATCTGCTTTTGACTCTGTACCTAGAGGCCTTTTGTTAAACAAGCTTAGCCTTACACAAACTGAGTCCTGGGCTATCAACTGGCTGCACTCTTACTTCTCCAATAGGATGCAGTACACGGTATATAATGGTGTAGCTTCCTCTCCTTTGCTTACTGAAGCTGGTGTTCCTCAGGGTGCTGTTCTCTCTCCGTTTCCCTTTTCCTTCTTCACTCTCAGACGAAATCAACTTCGTCAAATATGCAGATGACCTGACTGTTTCGCTTCCCGTTAAGTCTCAGTCAGACTGCTTCAAATTAAATAGCTTCCTGTCGGACATCAGTCAGTGGTCTAAACTAAATGGCCTCATATTGAATCCCTCAAAATGCCAGACTACCGACTTCTCCTTTAGGCATAAACGAGATCTACAAACACTAGTAAGCACTCATGATGCCTGTAGCATTGAGGGGACTAAAATTGAAACAAAGTCTAATGCAAAATACCTCGGATTAGTTCTATCTTCCGACCTTACTTGGTCATCTCATATCCAAATGATTTCCAAGAAAGTGTTTCGTCTAACCTACTACATTAAGAAACTCAGACTAACTGGAGTCCCTCAACCTCTGCTTTCACAATTTGTCAACTCTCGTATCCTACCTATTCTACTTTACTGCTCCCCGTTAGTCTTTCCTGGGTTACTGAAAAAGGGCTATACCATCCTGAGAAGGATGTTGAAGGTAGTTAGTAGGACTAGCGGTGTAAAACTCAGTCAGCTCGTCACAACATTAGTGGATAAGCATCTGAATACATGCGAAAAATGGTCTAAAACCATACTCTCTGACCCCCAAAACCCCCTCTATTCCCAACTCTCTCCTGCATCTCATCAGGTAGAACCAGAAATCAGTACAAAATAATATATGCTCGTACAACCAAGTATAGGAACTCAACGATACCATATTTGGCCCGTGTTCTAAGTGACAGAGACAATGTTAGGCGTGAAACCTATGACTTGCTTTGTTGTTAATAACATAATTTTGGCCCTTGTTATTTCTCTTATTTGTACTCTATAGTGAACAACCTTCTTAAACATACTTAGCTACCTAATATTATTATCATTGGCTTACTTTTCTGTACTTTATTCCTTCTTTTGTATATCTACTGGTTCCGACTATATTATCACTATGATTATTACAAAATTGTCCTGTCATTAACCATCATGTAATATTAGTTTTGTGGTTGTTTTTCGTTCGGCACTATTTAACTGACAATCTTGTTTGTGAACGCCACTATCACCATCTTAAAAATTTTGTAATATGCATCGTTACTAACACTACCATGACTAACACTGCATTAGTGCTGACACTAAAAAAACACACAACCTGAAATGTTTATTTTATGATTGTTTAGTGTTGTTCAATCAAATTAACTGATCATCTTGGCTATAAACATTCTTAAGAATATCTCAATAACTTCTCGTATGATTAAAGCTGCCACTGTTCACCACGCATACACATATCAAAGCTTCCACCACCAAATACTGAAATATTTTTTATTATTCGCATTTATCTTCCTTTCCACTTGGCAATTTTATTTGCATTTTTTTTGGTTATTTTTGTGTTTCTTTTTGGTATTAGTTGTTGTTTTTTTACACACATTTTTTGTGTAATACTCTTTTAAAATGAGCGATGAAATTATATGCAATATTGTAGAAATGTGCTGAAAATTCCTCACTGTGCCACTAGTACTGTTTCTGGAATAAAAGCGAAATTATTATTATTATTATTATTATTATTATTATTGAAACGTATACTTAAAAACAGCACAAAACAAAAAACAGTCAATGTTTCTTGGTAATCCAATTTTCTTTCGTTTTCACCTCATGGTGACAAGACTACCGGGTACGTATATCTTCACGAAATAATACATAAACAAAAGAGGTATTTACAGGAAGTTCAACACACGGTTGGCTGGAGTAAGTTGAATTTATCTATTTCATTTTGAGGAGACTCAGTTAAACAAGAATGGTTCAATGATAAAAAAAGCTGGGCAGCTACTAACTTAATCTGTGTTCGACTACCGGCCAATGCACTTCTAAGCGCAGCTTAATTTAGTAGCTCATGGTATACTAAAGAAAGAAGGAAGGTTGAACATGAAGCTAGAATATTCATTCTACGAGTAAATAACAATCCACTTATTGAAACTTGAAGTTCGAAACCCTTTGCTGTATCCGGAATGCAAGGAAATAGGAACAACATAATAGAAACTGAGTAAGAATTCATTTTCAAGGATTGAAAGCCAACACCGCTACAGAATGAAGTAGTTCCTCTCGTTTTGTAAGTCTTTTTCCTCCACATAGAGTGTAATATTTATTGAAACACCATTTAATTTTGACAAGCCCTTGTTCATTTGATGGGACTCTATCTACTAAATGAAATGGTAGCCAGTGTTTTAGTGTGCAATGTAATATCTTTCATGTCACCATTTGCAATAATAATAATAACAATAATAATGAACATTTTTGTCAGATGTTGGTTGGCAGAGATTCAACTAATTACGGGCTGGTCACCTTTCAGAGTACCATTGAAAAACCAGGAAGTATTCACCCAACCAGGACCTTCCATTTACTAAGCAAGCTCATTGACGTCTCAGCTATTCAGGCGGAATCAAATGATCCGTCAAATACACCTTCTACACATTAATGACCTAAGTGCAACCATCAACTAATGACGTTGGTAAGTAACTCTTTACTTCACTGTCCTGCTGAAGTCTCCTAGTTACGCCTTCTCACTAGAACTCCTACATGAAGCTTGATGTCATTCAGTAATCAAACACATGTTAGCAAACAAGTTCCTGCAAACCAATGCTTCAATATATAAATCTGATGCTCACTAGTCAATGGCTCTACACATCGAGTTTTAGTGCTATGCTGTGAGCAAGAAGTTTCATCAAGTCAGTCAGATGATGAGTTATTCTGAAATTCCATGAATCTGTTTTCCCCTTTTTGCTAGGTTTTCGTGCTTGTTTTTATATTCTGTGTATCAAATACGGTTTGTCTACAGTCAGTCAGTCAGTCACATTACAAATGGTCCAAAGAAAAAGATGGGCATTTATAAATAAAAAACAGAAGTGTTTCAGCCTGAATGAATCATAACTTTTACAGACTGCTGATGTAAAATGCTGCAATGAATACCTAATACTTTGAATACGCATGTCTGAATAATAATTTCAACTATTTATGGTATAGAGAAGTGGCACATCACAAAAAGTATCGTCAACAGGCTTCCTGAGACTTGTAATCAATAGGGGCCAACGTTGGATCCACACTGAAGAACGCACAATACTAATGGATCACCGATAAGGAGGAACTCGCGCAAACAGTTAACCAAACAGGAACTGATCTCCAAAAAAGTATGCGGAAGGGAATGGAAATTTTCACCATTGGGTGAAGTCATACAGTAAACACACACCCCTAGTGGAACTCGAATTGAAAGACGAGTAGTTGGTCGAATGAGGGTAGCATAATAGGAAATCATGTGAGGAGGGAATGAGTGCCTGTGGTTAATCGTGCAGCCAGCCGAAAAAGCTTAATAGGACAGAGTGAAATGATAATGCTCTGTTGAAGCACTATGCCTTCAGGATTGGAATGAGTGCCTGAGATAAGTGATGCAAGACACACATACACTGGATGCAGGAATTAATAAACTGGTCAGCATAAATACAGTAAAGGTTACAAATACCAAGATTGTCTTTCAAATAGAAAATGACTTACTGTTATGGTGATTAATGTAGTCATGGTTTTCTTATATTGCCAAAGCGTTTTACTGAACATCATAATCAACATAAGTGTGATACTGATGATTCTAAAATGCGTATAGAGAGAAAAAAATGAAACAAGCACTCAGCATTTCAATCTTTCAAATTTCATAAACATGAGATTTCTACAAATAATTTCTATCGAAATAGCAAGACATTTCAAACTGTACAGTAGTATTTATACTGCATTCAGCTTTTGGCAACTACTTCGCTACTACGGGGTCCCATCGACAATTATACATCTCATCCAACAGTTATACGACAATGCTGCATGCCAAGTAATCCACAACGGGAAACTTACGGAAGACTTCGAAGTAAGGACGGGAGTGAGACAAGGCTGCCTACTATCACCAATGATTTTCCTGATTGCAGTAGATCGGATAATGCGACAGACAACGGCCAACGAGAAAACAGGCATTAAATAGACTCACACAAAAAACTTGGAGGATCTGGACTTCGCCGATGATATATGTCTGATTTCCCACAAACTGGAAGATATGCAAGTGAAAAGTAACAAGTTGGCAGAAGAAACATCAAAGATAGGACTTCAAGTGAACATAGATAAAACAGGTGATGAAGATTCCTGGCCAACATCAACAGCAGCAACAACAACAGACAACAATCAGCCTGCAATAATGGGAGGAACCTGAAAGAAACAACCTCCTTTACCTACCTGGGAAGTATCGTTCCAGCTACAGGCGGAACTGGCGAGGATATCAAAGCCAGAATCGGAAAAGCAAGGCAGGCTTTCATTACTCTCAAGTCTGTGTGGAAGTCAACAGCACTCACCATCAAAAATAAAGCCCGGATTTTCAACTCCAATGTAAAATCAGTGCTACTATACAGATCAGAGACTTGGCGAGTCATAACGAGCATCTCAAACAAATTACTGACCTTCATTAACAGCTGTCTTCGCTCAATACTCAAGATCAGCTGGCCAGAAAAGATTAGCAACAGGGATCTCTGGGAGCGAACCAATCAGGAACCGATTGTGAAACAAATAGGCAGGAAGAAATGGAGATGGATTGGCCATACGCTGCGGAAACCATCAAGTGACATCACTAGACAAGCCATTGCTCGATTGGAACCCGATAGAATGGAAAGCGGCGAGTTGGTCGTCAGTGCAAGGGTGACTTGGAGGAGGTCATGTGAATCGGAGATGAAAGCATGTGGGCAGACTTGTAGCGGGGTGAAAACGTTGGCAGAAAACAGAAGGCAATGGAGGTACGCAGCTGAAGCCCTATGTTCCTCTAGGAATTAAAGAATAAAATAATAATAATAAATAATCGTTTATTTATTATTTCAAGCTTTTTATGCCTTCACCTTCCCAGTGGAAAATAGGGCTTCAAGTTAGAGTTTTGAAGTTTCGGTAGTAGTGCTGTTTATTTTACTGGAAGAGGTTGTTAGCCTCATATCCAGTCTGCCTTCTTTATCAGTCTAATATATACTAGCTTAGCTTTGGTGGCCAGGGAGTAAATCCCAACCACCTGAGGTGTGGTTGGCGAGAATTCTACCACTGCGCCATCGATGCACCATCACCTCAAGTAAGGTAAGCATTTTAATAGAGTTCACAAAGTTTATTAGAGTAGTTGAAGAGTACAAAAGTGACTTCAATAGGTTTGGTTTGAGTCAGTGTCACATTGTGTGTGTAACTCCTAGAAAGACGTTAACTGCCTCAGATACTTGAATGTATTTCTACAAGACACAACATATTTTTGGAAGGTGGGGAGATGCATTACATCTGAAATAGCGTTAACTTTTGAAAAAAATACCTGTATGAAGTGATATCTGAAGTATTTTCAGCTAGTCTACAAGATTTCACTGTACACGCGCAGAGGTCAGTTTTACAAAAAATTTTAAAACACCTAATTGTTTCCAAGCACCCAGTGGATGAAAATCTGCTTAAAATGTTAGCATAGAATGCACTCTTCCATCTGAAGAAGAAGTTTCAGTCCATATTATTACTGTTATTATTATTATTATTGTTCCCCTGGGTTCCTAGTGGAGCATAGGACTTCAGCTGCACGTCTCCACTTGCTTCTGTCTTCTACTTTACTTTTCGACTGCATCCATGCTAGTCCATACTGTTTCAACTCCTCTTCACACGATCTCCTCCATGTCACCTTTGGACGTCCCACTCGTCCACATTGAAAAACATTAACTCTGCATTAATTCAGCCAATGTGTTTTCCGTGGTGAAGTTAAGCAGCGTTTCTTAGAAGGCTGTCAATATCATCTCTCTCTCTCTACAGTTGTTGAATACACTGCAATTATTTCTATTATATGTTAAGTTGTCCAAGTTTTAAACTCCTTGTCTTTTTGTGTTTTCTCGAATTAAGTGATAAATAAATAATTCTCTAAATTGTAAAATATACTTCGAATATTTTCTTCATTTCATTCATTCGAAGTGGAACAACGTAATCCAGACATGGTGGATTTAGTAGCGTTGAGACAATTTCCATTTGGTGGGACTTCTAGCCTCACAACACATCCCCTCTCTTCTCTCGACGTACTGTCGGTCGGTTGGGTCAGCGAGCATTGCTAGAATGTCAGACGAGAGTCGAATCTTAGGTTCTCTCTTTCTCTTTCCCGTATTGGTAGCTGAAATCAGGTTGCCTGAGCAAAATGCAAGAACCGAAATCACTTGAAGTTCAGAGCTTCATTTGAATTTGAGTATCTCTTAGAAGGCATGTACACGTATTTCCCCTTTCCCTTTTCTAAATCATTTTGATATTTTTGAGTCACTAGTTGGATGTGGCTTGTTTTATGTTTTTAACACTACTCTAAGTTTGAATGCGACAAAAGTTTAAAAAACCATGACTAAGCATTTTTGCTTATAAGTGAAATCATATTGATTTATTTTGTGATTTAATTTTGTAAATTTTCGTTTTATGGTCCGAGGGTTGTTGCAGATTTTTAGCCAGTGACATATTTTAATAGTTTCTTTAATAGTTGTCATACACCGTTCTATCTCATTGCATTTTTGCTGAAGTATTGATTCTAAATCTGAGACAGGGGGTCAACATTTTTGAACAGCGTCCTGTTTATGAATGAAGGATGTCGCCAACAAGCAGCTACATATGAAATAAGTGTTTTCTTATATTTTGCATCCATCATCTCGGAATCAAATTCATTCTTTGCGCAGTAAAAATATTCTTGAATGGATTTAAACAATCATCTGAATCATTTTGAATTCCTGCTGGTTTAATTATTGAGGGGAATTTGTTATCTGGAGATTCCCTGTCTGTGAGTGATGTCACCTTCTCTAACAAAACTGACAAGTGAAAATAATGACATAATCAGATTATATTCCTTTGATGAAAAGCCTATTCCTTCCAAACATGAAGTTACTCTTCTCTATTAGTGAGCAAACTTTATTCAGCTGCATCATTAAAAAAAAGTGTAAAAACAAACGACACATTGATCTCAAAATCAGCATCAGACTTACATCAATATCAATGCAACTACAACATGTACTCCTAATTCAGGATATACTATTGCATGATCATGATCAGTACCATTGGATATGAGTGATCGGAGAATACCAATCAGCTTAGTTGACTTCATTGAAAATGTTTTATCTGGTAAAATGTTGGACCCCCAAAAAAATTTGGAAATGAAAAAAAGGATCTGGGTGTGGTACTGTTTTAAACAAAATATAAATGACAGGATCTCAAAAAACTATTTGATCCTGTATGAGGATCCAGAGTTCAGTCGTTGTCGACTAATAACCTGCATCTTCTTTATTTTGTGTCATTGCGAAACAAATTTCACAGGAAAATTAACTGAAAATTTTACAAAATGAAGGTTTTATGACTTCCAGGAACAATAAATAGGCTCCACTGAAGCCTATCAGTAATGGTGACAATGTTGAACAAGTACTCTATAAAAGAAATTAGAAACTTCTGTGGCATTTCATAACGGTCAGCATTTGATGAATTATCTCTGCTATTGTAAAAATGTCACTGTAAATTAGGAGAATTCGGTATTATCAGTAGTCTACTTGGGTTCTTTTTCAGTCTGTGATTAGCCCATAGATCTTTAGATGAATTCGTACAAATAATTCGAATTCCAGAAATAATTATATGTTTGCACTTAGTTAGTGAATTCTATATTTTGATCACTAATGTAAATATCTGTGACCAAGTATGTCCATTTCAGGGTCTCATTATGAGTTGAAATTGGGGTTAGAGAACCATTGAAAGCGCCATCAGTTGGTACTGGATGGCCAGCTGTTTCATCAAGCTAGTTTGTTACTCTTCAGCAGTACGCACCCACCGGTAGGAGTTGGAACCCACAAACTTCTGGTTATAGGGGAGCGTGTAGACAGTTCAGCCACTAGAACTCCATACAATGATCCATCAATTCCGATATAGTGCGACAACTAGCGAATGTCATCAGAATAGTTGAAATTCAAATATCACTGGATGTATTCCAGTGGATAAATGGTCTATGATCTTGCCTTGTAAACACAAGGCCGTGGGTACAAACAGCTGGTGGTGGTTGCATACTGCTGAAGAGTGTCAAAGTGGACTGAAGAATCTGCTGAATGTCCAGTACGGCTTGGTGGGTTTTCCAGTGTTTCTCTAACCGATATCAGTTCATAATGACATCCTGTAACCAATCAATCAAATTCCTGGAAACCAACAATTGAATGTCGATTTCACTGAAATTCACAGGAGAGATAAAATCTTTAATTTTAAATTCTCATGAGTTCTAAGGGAAACATTTGGGATCAACAGTACATAATCATTTCAGTCTGTTTTCTACAGTCTCCTCTAATCTGACTACACGATTTCACATAAGCTTCGATATTCAGCTTATAAGATCTTATCCACATCACCCTTGAACTCAAGTCAAAGTGTTCATTTCTCACTCAGGTCGCGCTTGACAGGCTAAGAAATGGTGTCACACAGCTGTGTCCTCCAGGTGTCTGTTCATACCACGTATATTTCCTTCACCATAACTGTTGATCAACAGGTTGTTGGTTGGTTCGTTCATGTCATTCAAATTATTAACTCATGTGTGGTTAGTACTTAGAACACTTTATCACCAACCAAATTAAGATTAATAATAATCAGGTAAACAAGTATGCACCAGTCTCACATAGGATGATCATTTCTCAGTCGTGGTGTTTTAAAATATTTTTTCTTAAAATAAGGATATTCTGATAAGAACTTACAAGTTGTGAAGGAATCTCCTCGATCCTTATTTGTAATACACAATTCTTATTGATGTATAAATATACAAACTCATATATATTTATGACAACAAAATTATTTAACTTTTTTATCAACTTTAGAATGAACCAATTCATAATGAATATTACAAAGATCAATTTATGCATTTGTCATTTAAACAAAAAGTAATTTTTACACCACTTAAAAAAATAAAACAACGAAGTTCAGTCAACTAGTCATTATACCTAACGAAAAACGTGTTTTGACGATTCATCAAAGCTGAATACAAAAACACGAGTAATTTATACTCCGAGTTAACAAATGTAATTTTAGTTCAAAGTTTGCAAATCAATTTGTAATTTTCATAGTTCAAGATGGTTACTTCACTGTATTTTCCTTTGAATGCCTTAATTATTCTGATAGCTACATGGCGGCCTTCCTGAATTACTGAGACACCTAAATTTTGCTGTTCATAATACGTCACAATCTATAATCATGTATTATTTCAAACAGCTTTCTATATATCGTTAAGAATGCTTTGAAAGAATCTACGGAGGAATATTGCAGAGTAACACTGGAGCATAGTTCAGATGAAACAAAACTTCTTCAGATGACTTAATATATTACCGATTTTTTAATGAATTAATTGTGTTCTCTGAGCTAATTGGTTTAATCGAGAAGCTTTGGTTGTCACTTTTCTGGAGAACATCTTCACCGCAGGTCTTAGTACTAAGTGAACTTATTTGAATACTTCATGTCTGATCCAATTGTATCGCCTTTTTCACTTCGTCATTTGATTTTGATGATTTGAGTGATGACTCAATGATAACACATTGAATGTGTTGCTGAGTTGTCACCAGTATGTGTAGTTCATTCCTTTTTGAAGAAGGTGTTCTTCTATTTTTCATCATGGTTGTTTCTCTAGATTTACCACGCAGTCATTTAGAGGTTCTCAGTGTGGTTGTTTAGAAATTTAAGGCTGTTTTGTGTTTGAGAACAACTCGCCCTCGTTCTTTGTGTCATTCGCTTAATATTGAAATGACAGTTTTCAATGTTGACACATGTCCTCGGTTGATAGTCCCTAAAAACCCACCTTTTTGAAACTTGATCATAGTCTCGTATTTTTTTAAGTTTGATTGTGTCAGTCAGTGGTCAGTAGTTTCACCATTTGTTCTCCAGGCTGCTTGGCTAATTTTCATCCCAGAGGACAGTGAATTAATGATAAATTTATTGAAACAACCATAAATAAAAATTTGAAAGCAACTTCTTCAGAAAAGACTGAACTACAATACCCTTGACGCCTCAGTGACAGATTTCTGTGCTACCGTAGAATCACCACTGAAATCATCAAAATCAGATAGCGAAGTACAACAGGAAATACGTCCATGTGATTGCCAGGAGAAATAATTATATAATCATTCATGGAGAATTCAAATGAGTTCATTTAAACCTGAAACCTGCGCTGAAGATGTTGTCCAGAACGACGACAATGAAAGCCTCGGAATTAAAACAGCCAGCTCATAGAACACAATTAATTCAATATCATCCACTTGAACTATAAATCTTTTCCATATCAATTATTATGCTGTTTCAAGATCTAGGACAAGGAGTAAGTACCTTGCGATAAAAAATTCTCTTAGAATTCTGCAGTACGTATAAAAGCATGTTTCAGAATAAAGATATTAGTATCAGCCCATGAAACTATGAGAGTAATCGAATTCATGTTGTTTGGAAAGTGATTCTGAAATGATTTTTCTGCAACTAAGTAAATTTTATATAAGTGTAGAACCTGGACACTGTGGTAGAATGTAATCCCATGTAAGATAAGTTTATTTCGAACATCACACAGTGAAATGTATTATTAGCTGGATGACATTTCTAACAAAATGTATTGCTCATAGTCATATTGCTTTATATTTTGCTTTATAGATGTATTTCTCTCACACTCTGTCTTCCCCTTGTTGTTATTTACCACTTTATATATCTCCGGAATAAGTATTGCGTCATTTCCATAGCACATCTGTGGTATTGAATAGTTAAACAAAGATTGAGTCCATACTCTTTCTCTGTGATAAGTACTTGGACTTTAATTAATCGCATCTAGAATCGACAAAGATGGGTTTAGTTCAATTCCTATATAATCAGGCAAAGGAGCCTGACTAGTAAGCGGGACGATTTACATAATGAATAACCACTAGAATTTATTCGGAATTATATGACGAACCATATAAAAACGGAGATTAGCAATAAAATAAGGTAGAATTCAAAGTCTCTGTAACACTGCTGTATAACGAAACAACGTGAGAGGCCTTACGCAGGATTCCCAGTGACTTTGGCATTTAAACCACTCAACGAACAAACTCTGAGATAAACTTTGTTGGCTTAAGGCTTCAACAAATCCAATAGGCAGAAATAATATTACTTGACAAATACCATTTAATGACTGTGAGTGGGGTCGATTACATAGTCCAGTCAAACTAGTAGATCGGAGTCAATTAGATTATTGGAAAACAAAAATTTAACTTGACCAGGAATCATTGACCATGCTAGGTGAAATAATCTGGGAAAAAGCTGAGTTATTTCACTGGATTCACTAGCATGTAATCACAATATGGGAGGGACAGGGTGAGGGTATTAGAAAGTTATAAAGTTAGACAGAGAGAGAGACAGCGAGGTTAATCACTGAAGCTTTGTTTTGTCATTTTGACATCGCACACTTGCAATCGAAATGAGGCAATGAATATTCTGGGGATATTGGAAGCTTGCAACAAATAGTAAACGGAAGTTGCAAAGACGAAAGAGTGAATATGTGTATAAGGCAAATCGTTAAGCTCTGTGACCAAATCGATATGATCATTAGCAATAACTTATGCTCGAAATGCGGTCCAGTTGTTAATACTGCGTGGTTGTGTAATATTTAAAATAAATTTATCTTATATCAATGTTTCACAAGGCATTAATTAGTATCACCTTGAGCGTATTTGTTATTTATTTATTTTATTTTGATTTTGATTTACAGCTTGATTCCACACTGTATTTTTGGTACAGGTATGGAATTTTCAGCATGGATATCGGTAGCCCAATTTTCGCAGGCTGACCATAGATATCAGGTGTGCGTCGGCAGGGGATCGAACCTCGGACCATGTGCATGGTCGGTGAGAGTCCTAACCACCGTGCTACCGACGCACAGAAATGTGATGATAGAAGAAGTGAAGACTTGATTATGTCAGTCATGTGTTACTGCATTTTTGATAGCTATGTCACAGTTGATTTCATTTTCGTGGTATGAGAGGTGGGTAAAGTAAGTCTCACTGATCTGTAAGCGTCTTAATCGGAGTGTCCCGCTCTCATATTTTGTCCACTTATCCACTTAGGTAAGACTTTCATAGCTGCATAGAAGTCATCCTATGACATATCACTGGATGCTTTCAAGACGAATCCTGTCACACTCGTTCCACACGTCGAAGACGATTGTGCTGTGTTTGAGTACTGGGTGAACTTTGACATTGCACAAAAGATATTTAGATTTTATGTTGTACTATCCCCCACTAGAGCATGCCTTCCAGTTGTCAGCATTCAGATTGTGCATTCACACTGTCATCCAGTTAATAGTACTGTATCACTGTGTGGTATATGGAATAGACAAAGTTAATATGAAAGTACATTCCACATTACAAAATCATTGTGCATTCAGCTTTGTGAATAACTTATACGGATTTAATGCAAATTGTGGTCTTGAGGAAAATTGATGAAGAAGGTTGGCCTTTTTCACCTTCATATAGCGATAAAACATTGTATACCAGCATATAGCATATGACACGCATTGTGATCTGAAGAACCACTGTTTCTACAGGAAACCGCTGTGAAGTTCTACCTGTAACTGTTGGTTGAGTGACGAATCAGTAATTTGATTTAATATGTTACCGATTTGGTCAAGTAACAATCCTGATGAAATGAACTGATTCACCTCTCTGAGTTAAGTTGAAAATGGGTACACACGTTCAAATGTTAGACAGAAGAAACAGTAAGAATAACAGTGATATTTTACAAGCCTGGTATCCCAGTGAATCGTCAATTAACAGACAGACAGGCATAGACAAACTTTGCCAGTCGATATGATGGAAATCTCGTACACAATGGGTCGAACTCCAAGTCAAAGGAACAACTGCAACCCACACAGGTAGGCTGGAAGTCGTGAAAACAGACAAAAATCATCCAATCACGTCGATCAAGTTGAACAAGAGAGATGACTTATAAATTAGTGAAGATATCTAAGAGCTCACTTTACCAAATGGAAGTATGCACTGAAGGTGTTGCCTAGTTAAACAATTAAATATTCGCAAGTAAAACATCAAGCTCACAGAGCACAACTACATCAAAATTCTCCATTATATCTAGAGGCTCAAACTACAGACAAGCTCAGTTTTAAAAGGGTAAGACCATAGTCTGATGTCAACAACCACTACTTATTAGTGTGAGTAGAATCCGCCTACTCACATCAGTCAATCAGTAGTATATATCCCCATGCATTTCTACTAGAGTGATGTTGACAGAGATTGATCTAGTCAAATATCCAGTAGTATTTCATATTTACTTGTATTTATCTAAAAACAAGCTGACTGCACGGTATTTATTATCGTCTCATCTTCAAAGGCTTTTTTATTCCTGCATTAACTGCAGATTCCTTCTGTTGAGTTGTTTCTTCCTTCAGTGCTGCAATTTCAAACAGATTCTCTCTCTCTCTGTCAAATTTCACGCCCTGAATTGATGGAGTTCTAGTCGGAATTTTGTGTCTTCTCATTTGTTTAAAATTAGAAAATGTAACTGTCACACATCTTAAGACGGTTTTATTCGCGCACGGTAACTCTCGTAGGCAAGAGGTTCCCTAATGGGAAAGGATTTAGAATTCTGAAGCCAGTCATCCGGTTTCATATCAACAATAACACATAGCTTTAGTAGATTTATCTTAGTTCAGTATTTGTAGAACTATCAAAAGTTTGATTTAAGGGGACTGTGCAGGACTGGAAAACTTGGCGATGTATTATTTGACAGATGGAAGAATCTCCGTGAATAATGTTCTATAACCTTAGAGGGACTAATAAACTGATGAGCTCTTCTCAGTTGTTTTCTAATGGGGAATGCTGTCATGAACAAGTTATCTGAGATTGGATGGTATGTTTTGTTCTTCAGTTTGTGAAAGTCTGGCATTCTATATGTTCCTGTTGTAAAAGAACAGATAATCTGGTTAATGTGACAGGATTTAATTACAATTAAGACGACTTTAGTCTAAATTATAATGAAATACGTTTCCTAAGTAAGCGGGTAACGGGGGGATATCCTAAAGTTATCCAAAAATGATAACTGACTGATTCATTTACAAATTCCTCAGAGCATTCGGTAATTAAAATCAACGAAATTGAATTAGGCTTATCTACCAGAACTGTGAGTTTCTTCTAAAATAATCAGCGCCACATTCGACAAATTGGCGGATGTGGTCGTAGTCACTGAATCCTGCAGATAAAAGATAATAGAGAAAATCAGTAGGAGGAACACCTAACTCTTCGAGTTATAGATTCGAATGCCTGTAAATGTACGAGTGGATATCTCCATGGTGAATCGATTTAAACAAAACACTGACTGCTCATGAAGCAACGTTTACCGCTACTTTGCATATGAAGTGTAAATTAGAAGACGTCTTGTAGAAAAATGTCACCGGTCTGAGATTCATTTGTCATGAAATACAAAAGCATTAAACAGCTCATTGGTTAACTCAAACGACAGCAATGTCACTCCTTTCTTCATTGGATATTCAAATAATCAGAGTGGTGTAGGTGTAAAGCAGTGTTACATGTTGGTCCAGGTATTTCGGTTGAAACACATGACCAATCATCTTTGCAAACTGCTGATTTATATAACCGAATGGTAAAGAAACACATACTTTATAAATTCACATATCAAATATATTCCGGAAGCGTTTCTGTGAAAAAGGTATTCAGGTACATTTACATCTTATGAGGCGTTTTCAGTAGACATTTAATCAAAGCAATTCTGTACATAGGAAGTCGAATTTGAGTGAAATATCGAAGGTTTTCGTGATTATTTTAAATCCTTTATTCCTAGAATAGTGTATCTTGACTCATGTCCACAAAAAGCTGTATTATAAAGGTAGGATTACTTGTTTTTATTTAGACTGAATCAATAACCTTCTGAAGTACATTGCTTGTTTGCTCTTAATGATTCTACAGACGATGATCATGACTTCATTGGTGGCAAACATGTAAGAATATGAAATTTTATTTCCTTATTCATATCTTTGTTTCAGAACAATGCTAAGGAATTTGTTCTATTCCTATATTTATACACCGCCTATTCTCATGTGAGTTATTCAAACATATAACTGTGACATAAGTCTACTCATATAGTTAACAGTTACTTAAGAACTCTTTTTCATTTCTCCCCATGGGTACATTTAAACAGACGTTACCAATTCGTGAATGTGCATAACTGAATATGCGTGGTGATGCTGACGACAATGCACTATGCTTTATTCTGAATAAAAACGTTAGGGGACCATGATATATATATATATACAGCTTAGATCGTTTAACTAATCGAAGTACTTAAATTATTTTCAGGTTAATTGGAGCGACCATCATAGCAGTATTGATTCTTGTTCCCGAATTCCCAATATATTCGAAGTGAACTACATCGCTGCCATGAGTGTAAGTGTACTAATCTTTCACACTTTTTCATGTGTGTATATGTGAATTTCTTGCAATAACTGACTGTCAGCATATATAAATATACTGGAAATACTTACAATGAAGATCAAGTCAGCAGAAACTAACACGGTTATTGCCATGCTAGTAGAAGTGATTGAATGATTTTCTTTAGTAAGCATAACTCTGGGTTTTACAACTAAATGGCTAAAGCATCTATAATACAAAAGAGATGAAAGCGTATTAACTTTAACAGGTTATTGTTCACACTGTAGATTACTTTGTTCCAATGGAATAGCTATTCCATTGATAACGTGTTCTATTACTGCACTGCTTTTCAAAGCCAGAATCCGAAAAGGAAGACAATATTTGATTACTCGTAATTCTGTGTGGAAGTCAACAGCACTCACTATCAAAATGAAAATAAGATCCGGATTTTCAATTCCAATGTGAAGTCAGTCAGCCCTACTATACGGATCAGAGACTTGGCGCGTCATAAAGACCATCTCAAACAAGCTACAGACCTGCATTAACAGCTGTCTTCGCTCAATACTCAAGATCAGATGGCCGGCCAGAAAAGATCGGAAACAGGGATCTCTGACAATGAGCGAATTAACCCAGCAGGAACCGATTGTGAAACAAATAGGCAGGAAGAAATGGAGGTGGATTGGCTAGCCATACTCTGAGGAAACTATCTAGTGACATCACTAGACAAGCCAATGCTCGAGTGGAACCCGACAGAATGGGAAGGCGGCGAGCTGGTCGTCAGTGTGAGGGTGACTTGGAGGAGGTCATGTGAATAAGAGATGAAAGCATGTGGGCAGACTTGGAGCAGGGTGAAAAAGTTGGCAGAAAACCGAAGGCAATGGAGATGCGCAGCTGAAGCCCTATGTTCTACTAGGAATTAAAGGATATAATAATAATAATTACTGCACTCCTTTTCAGGGCCGCTACTACCTCTTTGCAGCCGTACCGGATGGTTTTCTTGAACCCTTACAGATAGGATATGTGTCGAGTGACTAGGTACGTAATTCCACAGCACAAGGTGAACTGATATATGCACATATAAATGATCACATGCAATATCGTGTTATTAAGGATTCTGAAGACCTATGGACGACTGAAAGATACTACTCTTGTCCATGCTGACAAAATTGTTCTTCTCCCAGATGCTGAAATTCTCCTCTTGAATAGATTACAGTTTAAGTTTCCTTTGAAATCAAGGTTCATGTAAAGTTTCTTTTTTGGAAATAGTAATGGTTCCTTCCTCTGGACTTCTGATTTGTCATTCTTGTCGATACATCATCAATAAACACACCACAAACACTGTGAGGACATATTGCGATTAAGACTGAATGTAAAATCTTGGCGGCTGAGCCAATGATCAATTTCTATAGCAAACAAACGATCAATAGATGCGTGAATGATAAACTGTCGCTTTCGACCACTTCAATATGCGTTTATAAATTCACCTTCTCATGTGAGGCTAGTTATATTGGCCGCACAATGCACACACACTTTCCAAACACATCTCTCAATATTATCCGGCATGGTTAGCAAAAGGACAATGCAAGACAATTACTGGCTCAATTCTAGGAGACTTGGTGATTTCAAGCCTGATAGCTGCACCACAGTTGTCCTCCAAGATTATCTACAGTGTGAGGCCAAACGCTACAAAAGGCGTCAGGCTTTCGGTATTTGTGTATGGTGAAGGCGCTAGCAATTCGTCAATACAACCCAGAATTCTGTATACAGAAACGGTTTGTCTAATGTCTTATTCTACCTTGGTCTTAATCTATTCACTACCCGTTCCCTGTAAAAATTTCAATATTTTAAAATTTTAAATTTTACTTTTAGCTTGCTTTTAATTTAATAATTAATTCATTATTATCACTCACAAATGTTGCTTTTGTAAATTTTCACAGTGTCTTCACGCTTGTTAAATTGACACTCAATTACCTTTATTCTCACTCAAGAACAATTTTAACCTTATCAAACTTCTATCTTTGTGCCATTGAGTACCACGTAAATTACAACTTTTAATTTTCACTTCTTCTCTATAATATCTAATTTTCACTTCTAAAGCCACTTATGATTAATTACATCAATTATGTCACCCCCCCCTATTACTCAATAATAGACCACTATACATTTTTGTAGGTATAAATACGACTGTACAGCCTCTGAAGATGATTTCGTCGATAAAGAAAATTTTATTCACTGAATCTATCTTTTATTTTCTTCATGACTAAATGGGTATTTTCGATGAAATTGGAATATGTAAAATGGTAGTGAAAGTATTTCAATCATTGAAAATTTCGAGTATCTTATTAAAATTTTTTCTTATCGCGTAAACAACTAGACGTGATAATTTTTAAAACCAAAATAAAACATATTACACCCACCTGGTTGCATTCCAGTCATTTGATTAACTCTCAGTTCATTTTGTTGTAAGCATTTGTAAGCGTTCCACTTCGTTAATAGTTATATCATAATTGTCTTATTAACTTTTTTCCCAGTTAGCATTGATATGCGCTATCTGACATCCCGACTGCACCCGCTAATGTGATCAATATGACACTGTGTGACCCAGGAGAGATCTCTGGTTTGAAGTGAAAAGCCTACAAGTATTTCAGCACCCTGATCACATTTCATTGATTCTGATTTTGGAAAGGTCTAGGAATATTTTAGCTGCGTTGAACATTAATCCTTCTCACATGACTTTAGCATATTCAACTGTATTTTAATCACCTGAGAAAATAAGTTAACTTCCAGTGTTATTCAGGTTAAAACCACATTACCTGTCTCAACGAGTTGTCACTTTCAACACTTAAGCTCACAACTTACTGTTTTCTTCATCCCATTGACTTCTGACTCATTTGACATGTAAGGTATGAGTTCCTGAAGGCCGTCAATGGAACCACTGTGTGAATCCTGACTGCAAACTTCCTAATTATTCGTTATGTCTTCAGAAATTCTACTAATTTTCAGAGCTCTCTTCAAAGAGAGTATTCAAAATATCTTGACTGAGATAGATATAGAATGACGTGATTCACATAACAACAATTCTCATTGAACTGATAGATAATTCTTGCATATTCCAGGTAATAGCTGCATCATCAGGTCTCGCTGTGGTAACATCAAATGTGAAATTGTGGGTTTTCTTATCATGGCTGCTAACAGTCTTTCTGGCTGCGATAGCGGTCACACTGGGATACCTAATGAAACGCCTGAATGAGAAATGGTTCTATATTCTGAATTATGTGATAGCTGGATTGATGCTTGTCGGCGCTTTCATGTTTGTAATATTTTACTCGATTTACTTTCTAGTAAGTATCATTTCCTCTCAATGTCATTTTATTCTGATCAATTTTAGTGGTTCTCGTTTGTATAACGTACATATTTTTGGAGTATTTTATTGATGACCTACTATAAATAAGTCAGTTAACATTATTATTATTTTATTATTTATTGCTCCCTTGGGTTCCTAGTGGAACATAGGGCTGCAACTGCACGTCTCCATTTTCTTCTGTCTTCTGCTGTACTTTGTTCCCATGGTTCCTTGTTGGTGATTCTTTCCGGCCCAGCCATCTGATCTTCAGTATAGAGCCAGCGAAGACAGTTGTTAATAAAAGTCTGCAACAGGCTGTTGGAAATATTCTTTGTGACCCACCGGCAAGTTTCTGATCCGTATAGAAGAAATGACTTTGAGTTTGTATTAAAGATCCGAATTTTGTTGGCGATGCTGAGTGACGAAGATTTCCAGATTGATTTCATGCTGATGAATGTGTTTCTCGCCTTCCCGATTCTCGATTTGACATCCTCGTCCGCTCTTACTGTAGTTGAGACAATGCTCCCTAGATAAGTGAATGAAGTAACCTCTTTCAAATCCCTCCCGTTGATGGTGATTGACGTTGGATGTTGTTGCTGTTGTTGGTTGGTTATTTTCATAACCTCCGTCTTGTCTATGTTTACCTGGAGTCCTGTCTTTGCCGCTGCTTCTTCGACCAGTTTGTCGGTTTTCGCTTGTAAGTCTTCGATTGTGTGTGACATCAAACACAAATCATCCACGCGCGAAATCCAGGTCTTCTAGGTTCTTCACGTCGGTCCAGGATATTCCTGTCTTCTCGTTTCCCACTCACTGTCTGACGCATAATCCAGCCAGTCCACCACAATTAGGAATATCATTGGTGATATTAAGCACCCTTGTCTGACTCCTGTGTTTACTCCAAACGCCTCGCTGAGTTTTCCGTTGTGGATCACTTGACATGTGCCGTTGTCGTACAGCTGTTGAATAAGGTTGATGAATATTTGGGGTACGCCATAGTACTCGAGTAATTTCCAAATTACTTCACGATCAACGCTGTCGAAGGCCTTCTCAAAGTCTATAAAGTTGAGGTAGAGGTTTGATTGCCATTCCATGCTTTGTTCTGTGATGATGATGCGTAGAGTTGCAATTTGGTCAGTACATGATTTGCCTTTCCTGAATCCAGCTTGTTCTGGTCGGAGTTCTGTCTCCAGTGCGTCCTTTAATCTCTCCAGGATGATGCGACTCAGGATTTTACTTGGCGTCGACAGGAGCATGATTCCTCGCCAGTTCTTGCATAGTGAGTCGTAAGTCGCCCTTCTTTGGTAGTTTCACGAGGTAACCTTTCCTCCAGTCAGTAGGCACCTTTCCCTCCTTCCAGACCTTTTGCAATAATGGAGTCAGCATGTCTGCTGTAGTCTCTGGGTCCGCTTTCAGTGCTTCAGGGGGTATTCCATCTGGTCCGGCTGCTTTTCCAGCTTTCAGAAGCTTGATTGCATTCAAGACTTCAGCTCTCGTTGGAGGATTGGTGTCAACTTGCAGTTGTGTGTGCGCTGTTGTTGGTATTTCTGGACGGGTTGCAGGTGATGGTCGGTTCAAGAGTCCTTTGAAGTGATCCGCCCATTGTTTAATCTGTTTTTCTTCCTTGGTAATTGGGTTCCCTTGGCTGTCTTTTATAGGTTTCGCTTGTGTTGATCTCTTCCCGGATAGAGATTTGGTTATCTGATATAGTGTCCTCAGGTCCCTTTTGCCTGCTGCCTTCTCAGCTTCAGTGGCGAGGTTGTCGTAGAATCGTCTTTTGTCCTTCCTAGCATTCTTCTTCACTTCTTTGTCCAGTGCTCTGTAAGTTGAGCTCAGCGTCTCTTTTCCTGTCCGTCCTTGCATTGAATCATTTTCTCTTTCACCATTCTCCTCTCTTCTATTAATTTCCAAGTGTCCGTTGAGAGCCATTCCTTGTCTTGTCTCTTCTTTCTTCCTAGAACCGTTGAACACGTTTCGTTGAGAATCGCCTTCAGAGACTTCCAATGTTCTTCCACGCATGATTCTTCAGTGATGTCGCGTAGTGTTTCCTGCTTTGCTCTGACAGTTGCAGTGAAGGTGTCTTTTGTGGTTGTGTCCTTCAGTTTCTTAGTGTTGAACTTGCATTATAGAGGCTTTCAGCCTCATCTCGAAAGTCCCTTGTACTAGATAGTGGTCTGAACCCACATCTGCTCCTCTCCTTGACCTTGTGTCCAGTAGGCTCCGTCTCCACTTTCTTGAAATTGAGATGAAGTCTATTTGATTCTTGGTGTTTCCATCTGGTGAAATCCATGTCGTCTTGTGTATATCCTTGTGTTTGAACACACTACCACCAATCACCAAATCATTGAAGGCGCAGAAGTCTGAGAAGAGTTCACCATTGTCGTTCATTTCGCCGAGGGCCTCACGACCCATGGTGAGTTCTCTTCCTGTGTTGTCTCGTCCCAGCTTCGCATTCATGTCGCCCATCAGGATTTTGATATCGCCATTTGGGACGTTGTCCATTATTGCTTGTAGTTGTCTGTAGAACGCCTCCTTCTTCTCTTGTTCTGAGACGTTTGTAGGCGCATAGCATTGAATGACTGTAACCCTCATTCCTTTTGAGTTGAACCTGGCTGTCATTATCCTGGAGGAGATTGGTTCCCACTGCATGAGAGCTTTGGTTGCTGTTGGTGACATCATGACGGCTACTCCCTCGGTGTGCTCATGGTTGTCCTCTGGGTGGCCGGAAAAGATTTCATTAACATTATTACCACCGAGTAAATTTCGTTTGCAGATCAGGTCACAACTTTTAGAATTAATTATATAATGCGATTTTGAACATCTATAATTTCGTCACTGCAGTAACCGATATCACTATTTCAAAATAATAATCTTCGAAATTGAAATCTGATAAATTCTGCTACATGGAACACTTTCTGTCGTCGTGAACGATGAATTCGGTAAAAGGAATCAGTGAGAAATCCAGTCGATTCCCCTTGAGTTCGTGTAACCACAAACGGTGAATACAAATATAATTCAGCGATGGGAATAGTTCTTGTGTGTGAAATACGTCATATTAAGATATACTCAAATCTGGGAAAACCTCGAATTTTGAACTTAACCTGTCATGCAGACAATTGTTGATGTCTCCTCTATCCTTATGCCACATTCCTTGTCTTTTCTACTTTCAGGATACCGCAAATACAATTTTCAGTGTACTAATGGGACTCAGTTTAGTTGTGGTAAGTGAAATTGCGAAACTCTCATAACACTTGCCAAACTTTACCTACTCTAGATAAAGTATATCTATTTAGCTTCTGGCACATGTTTCAACATACATTCAGGGAACATCTCGTGAAGACAACAACAGTGTTTCATTATTTTATATAAATCCGTTCTGTACTGTCCCGTGATTAGCTGCAAAGTCTCTAGCGAATATATCTGATGTCATATGAACTTGTGATGACGATTAATCACAGAAGGGACTCATGTTATGACTTCAGACATAGTAAATGGGATAAGGGCAATAAGAAATAAATACTACAATCACTAAGTTATTCACAAATCGGTTTAATCCCACTGTATTGTCGAATATAAGCCTGGAACTATTATCCACTGAATTCCAAAATGTGTAACCAAAATAAAGGGATGGTCTTTAAGTGAGTTATGCGTAGAGTCAGCGATGAATGTGTCATCATGTATTCATTGAAACACGTAAATACTTCAAGTCCGTGTATGACATAACACTACGATATTCAGAGAAAACTATGAGAAATTTATGAAGAATTGGGATGAACCCATCAGACAATAGGCTTAATAATGAATGATTCCCTGAACGGGAACCTAGAGAATAAACTGTTGAATTTCGGAATGTAACATAATGTACCGTGAATTAGGTGTGTTGAAATAAACGCCGAAACCGATGACTGGATAATTCAACTCACATAATATGCATCCACACAACTTCATGCTTGTCTCTGTCTTATTTTTTTCCTATGTGTGTGTGTGTGTCTAATAGGCATTATACCTTAATGGACAGAGTTTGAAACTTTGTGATGATACGATGGCAAAGTCTTTCCTACCAGTTCGACTGGCTCTGACTACGTGGTCATTGGTGGCTTTATTATATCTATCCATTTCAATTGCCATCCAACTGGAACATTGAACATTCAGCAGGACTATTTGCCAAGCTGCTTATTCAAATTGTTAACAATATTCTGTCTTGGACATCACCTGATTATCTGACTGTTGACTGTTGTTGCTGTTGTTTTCGTTGTTGAAACAATAAAGATGTATGAAGTATTTTCCAGTGTCATAGTTATTGGTTTTTTTTAGTACACGGGAACTTGCTTCATTAACAAACTGAGTAGATTTGACGTTGTTTGGCTTATATGACTCCTTTGATTGATTCCAATGATTTTCCACAACACTTGTTTCCTTCATGTTCCCCAGTAAGCATAGGGTTCAAGCTATTGGCTTGAAGTTTCTGTAGTAGTGTTTATTTTACAGGATGGGTTTGCTAGCCTCATGCCCAACCTTCCCTCTTTACCAGCATTATTTCTAGCTTAGCGAGGTAGAGGAGTGCGTTGGTGGCCGGGGATCGAACCCCGGACCATGTGCATGGTCGGCAAGCGTCCTAACCACTATACCACCGACGCACAAAATCATGCTCCAGGTGAGACATGGTAACCGTTTATCCATACTATGGCCATTGTAGCAGAAACCATGAAAAACGTCTTCTAAGAGTGTCTCTGCATAGTGAAGAGCTATCATATTATACTAAACTAAGCTTAATGAACGTTTTAATAATGCAGTGCGAATGAAAGAACAGTATTTTTCCGATGAGAATTCAGGGTTTCAAAGACTTAAGAATATAAATGTTCAACTCTATATAGGTAAGATTTATTTTGATAACGTCTCACAATGTGTTTTACCATAATATTAAATAATGACGTTTCCAGCTCAATTTATTGCCACTCATAGTCATATCAAAATACTCACTCAGACAACTTTCTAACTTTGTTTATACAATTCCATTATCTTCCATCGCTTGACTTGATTGGTAGTAGTATTTTCCATATTTTAGTAAAAGTAGTGGGTCACTTATATTGCATGTGTTGGGTGTAGACTCGATGAACCAGTCAGGATTCAGTAATCAACCTCGCTCACCACCTACCTACCTAGATTACGTTTTAGAATTTTAACCCTCTCCCACTCTAATGCATCGTTGTGTGTTACTGCATGCAGTGCAATCGCTTAGCTTTTTCTGAATTAATTATCTTCGTGGGGTCAATCATTCTAACCTTATCTGAATTCTCATATTCCGACAATCTGAATACCGCCGATATACTGGTGTGGCTTATGTAATTGACTTAACTCACAGTCATTGCAATGTATTTTGTAAATTATATTATTTTGTCTAATTGGGTCAACAGATATTGTCCCTGAGTGAGGTTTTAGGTTTGAATAGCACCCGAATTCCTGCTTTATTTGGAATCCTACGTAGGGTCTCAGATGTCCCCACCTTTTATGGTTTGGCTATGAGTGGTAATAAATTGCGCTCGAAACATCATCACTAAATAATACTGTATAATACTGTGAGACCTTATCAAAATAAATCTCACTCATAATGGAATTGCACTCTTCTACAGTACACAAGTTCTCTTCTTATATTTAATTCAGTTTTGAACTTTCCTGTTGATTGATCAGACAGAAGTGCTTAGCCTGAGGTCAGCATGTTATCTTCTTGTGCAGACACCTTGACGATATCTGACTATTTAAACTGAAGTAAATTAGTGGGTAGTGACTAGCGGTGAAATCCAGGATGCTCATTTCGTTCTGTTTGGAACAGAAAAACCAGCTAAAGTAATCTGAATCACTCTCCAAAACATAGGTACCTGAATTTATCAGTTACCCAACTGCAAACACCGTCTTAGTTGGCCTGACGATCAGTTAATATGGTTTTGAACATACATTAGCCTACAACATTCGTGATAAGACTGAATCAATTAAAGATATAGTAATTGGCTGAGAACACATTGGAGATTACAACACTGAAGTACTCTCAGGCTCATCAGAAGGAATTCGCAATTTTTTTTTGATTTACAGCTTGATTCCACACTGTATTTTTGGTACAAGTATAGAATTTTCAGCATGGATATCGGTAGCCCAAATTTTGCAGGCCGACCATAGATATCAGGTGTGCGCCGGCGTGGGCTCGAACCCCGGACCATGTGCATGGTCGACGAGAGTCCTAACCACTGTGCCACCGACTCACATAAACGTATGAATAAATAATACTCCCAAGATGAGAGATTTGTCTGTTAATTTGCGTTTCAACTGATAGTCAACATAAAGAAGTCAGTTTGTTTTGACGTGGATACAAGTTGAACTGAATTGTCATCGGCTATTACGGAGAACCAATGTTTCTCAAATTAATTCTACTAGAAATGAATCACGCCATATATGACTGATTAGTAGATATGCGCTTTCTTTAATGGCAAGCTTAATAAAGCCACCTATAAAAAACACGGTCGTTCTTGTTCCTCTGAGGGACTGTGCTTATCACCCACATAGTTCGCTTAATTGGCTTCAGAAAGCTGAAGCAGTTCAAACCACCAGGCCATCTTCTTGGGTGAATAATTTACACGTTGAATCAATCAGTCTTTTGAAATTTCGAATGAGCATCTTTAATGAAGAAAAATGTTATGAGCAGTCTGTGGTGTTGAAGGTTCACATTGAATACGTGAATTACAACACTAAGCTCCATGAAACAAAGAACACGTTGGACTTTATTAACAACTACATCAAATCAAATTAATATCCTAATATCTACTACAAATCTCTACATCGAAGTAGAGTTCATCACAATAAGAAGACGCTGAAGCGATATGGATCAAACTAAATAGGCTGTTTGTCCACATATATACTAGACAAAGAAATTAATATCGCCCGATGGCAATCTGAGGTATATTAACAACCAGAAGACCTTAGGTCGCCTTTTATGGAATCCATCATCCAAGTAAGAAAACGAAGAGCAGAGACGAATCAGACAAAATTTACGAAAAAACTTGAAACAAGTGACAGGATGGTAAATTTACAAGAGATCCTAAGACGTGAGTCCATAATTATAGTAGTGTTGAACTAAGTAAATTACAAGTCGAGGTATTATCTCTTGGCCTAAGGTTTTATGACAAACTCCGACAAGTCAATCACTTAGATACAGATCATGAATTTGAAAATCCATTTAGTCAGACAACGGATCTAGTTCCATCATTCCCCACTGGAACTTGAACGCTTCAAATCCATTCTAGTGTATTTTTGTTATCAGTACAAAAACCATAAATACGAAAGTAAACTATTCTTGAAAAAGGGATCACAGAGAAGAACTAAAGAAACTGATAAATGATAGTAGACTGACAATCACACCGCCTGATAAAGGATCAGGAATAGTCCTCCCCAACAAAAGTGACTATATATTAAAACGATGAATGATATATTGAAGGACACACAGAAGTTTCAAAAACTTGAGAAGAAGAAAGATTTCAATAACAAAATGGAGAATGAATTAACCAGACGTTTGAATAAACTAAGGAAGTAGCAGATATTTCCCGAAAGTTTATTTGAAGAGCGCAAAACGACGGGCACATACACGCCAAAATTACGCGGCCTACTCAATATTTATAAACTGGAGGTACCGTCAAGACTAATGCTCGATATGCAAAATTCACCCTGACATGCACTAGCTAGGTGGTTAGTAAATATTCCAAAACCTTTGCATGAGCAGATAGTAAAACATAGTGTCAAAAATGTATTCTAATTCGTACAAAAAATCAAATATACAATAATATCAGGGAAAAGACCATGATATCTTTGAACATAAAACCTTCATTCACAAATTTACCTCCAGCAGAAACGCCTAACTACATATGTGAGCAAGTGTACAAAAATTCAATAAATATTGGTATTCTGACAGAAATCCTAAAAGAATTTTTATTAAGATGTACCATGAATGTACATTTCAGGTTTCATGGCACACTTTACAGAAAAGTGGACGTGGTGGCAACAGTTGCCTCAATGCGTCCTATTTTGCTAGTTTTCTTTTTAATCAAACTAGTAAATGGACCTTTTAACAATCCTGTCATGAAATTCCTAATTTATTGCAGGTATATGGATGATACCTACATTCTTTGTGATAATGATTTGGATAGGAATGCAGTTATAACTCATTTCAATGAAGTACAATCTGCTATGAAATTCATGGGTAAAGAGGAATCTTAAAAAGGAATTGCCTTGCTGGATGTCCTTCCTACAACAAAACCAGATGGTAGTATAAATAGGAATTTGCATAGGAAAGACACATGGACTGGACAATGTGCACATTTTCATAGCTTCATTTCTCTCCATAACAAGAGGTATTTATTAAGGACCTTCAGTCATGAAGTTGGAGTTATATGCTCAGAAGGCGTAACTGAAGACGAACTTATAATTTTATATGAAATCCTACTTGGAAATAGCTATCCAAAAAATTCATCGAGGGATACTTGACCAAGAAAGCAGAAAAGGACTATTTGTCATCTGTAAATATGAAGCCTTTATAGATACGAATGCAGTTCAAAGGTAACGCACATGATGAACTAATTTCTAGCAAGTTAAGAGAACCTTTTCAAAGAACTTTTGATGCTGGTTGACCACAAGTCATGTTTTCTCCACGACCGATGGTGATTCCTCTATTGAAAGATTAAGTACACAGACTGGATATCATTTCTTGCATCCACCAATTCAACTGCGCTTGTGAAGCCAGTTATATTAGCCGTGACTATAGGAACTTGATTTTGTGCTCGGGAACACCTAACAGTGTGGCTGAATAGAGGTGTGTGGAGTACGTAATAATGTGATTGTATACTTTTTGGTTATTTGTATAAATTCGAGATATTGTACATAATTTTCGTTTAAAACGCTTCCTGTTGAAATATATATAACTTCCGTGTACAATTGAAAAATACACTCTGCTGTTGGAGACTTCGTCTTCTCCCTGGTTATTTCTGCTTACTTGCTCAACTCACACCGTGTTGTATACTTCGGATTTATTGTAGGAGTCTACTACTCTCAACCGAAGACATTTCTACAACCGGAACACAACAGCTACAGCAGACGCAGTCCAAACAATTAACGTACCCGTGGATTATATAAATAATTTGTAGCAGAGGACTTAGACTTTATATCCAAGTAATCCTTTTTGTTGATATAACTCGTCACTGCATTTTTGGCAATATATTGTTATTTAACACTCCTTTGACTTGGATTATTATTTTTATATTTGTAATGTTAGTGAACTCTAATATTAGTCACCTACAGGTGTAGTAAAAACGACCGGTCGTTCAATATCTGAACACTTGGTTCAATCCGTTCACAAAGCTATCATTGAAGAATTAAAGAAAATAAAAAGATTTAGGCAATGATAACTTGTAACTAAGGATGAAATGATCATAAGAATAAAATAGTTTTGCAAGGATAACATGTAATTAAAAACGAAGTAGTCAGAAAAAATAAAGTAATTTGAACAATTATAATTTTTATTATTTTTGAAAGTGTAGAGGGAAGAAGGCGAAGTAGTTCGGTTTAAACATTTATGTAACGATGGCCAAGGTAAGGAAAGTAGCTGTACAAATTTCTTCTGAACACACAGGTTTGGCTTCTTCAGGTGGATTCCTATTGCTTCATTTGTGCGTAGAAGACGACCTCGTAAATTAAAATTAAGGTTAGTAAGAATGTGATAAGTAATTGTAAATACTGTATTAACTCCAACATATGCTCACTATATACAAGGTGTGTTAAAATAGAGCTACGAATCGATCTTGTTTGTCCTATGGTTAACTATGCTGGATGATGTTCTGAAATACGATGATGAACCTGCCTAATTGTAAGCCAAAGGTAGCTGGCTTCGCAGCCACAGTCAAACTGGTTGATACACATAGAGAAGGCAAATCTAGGCATTTTATCGTTATTTCTCGAACGTAGAATAGGGGTGGTTAAGAAGAGACAACATACTCTTGTTGCATAATAAGCGAAATAATAATACAGCGCCTGAAGAATGTAGTTAAAATGAGCTTTACTATTAGGCTTGCACTGAATTAATAGTTCTCTGCTGCCGCATATATCACATTATTACTTGTTATCTATCATTCAATCCTTTGAATGTTCTACAATTATGTCACTTAAAACAATACAAGACTTGTGGAATCTCAGCAGCACTCTCCCTCCACCTACAAAAAGACTAGTCATATCGTAATAGTATTCTGCAGAATAGTTCCTTTAGATTGTCTAGATTGAAAATTATGCTACAATTTTGCATCTTAATCACGATGTCTACTTTTTTCTAAAATGAGTAATAAACTCATGAAATAGCTCTTTTTCTCTGTGAAAATCTGAGGTTGCTTAATTGGTGTTGATTGTATTTCTGAACTGTATCATGAGATGTGCATTTGATAATGACATTCGGAGTCAACGCATCGTACTCAAAATTTCAATTGTAGGGCATATGTACACAGACGAAATGAATTTGAATTTAATTCACTTCATAATATTTATTATTCCTGATTAACAAAAATTTTTATGAAGGTATCTAATTTTGTGAGAACATGAAGATAATATGACGGTTGATGTTCAGAGATGCATTGTTGAATAATTTCATATGTTCAAAGTACATTCCTTGCGCAATACAAAATCATCCCATATTTACAATGTAAATTTTGTCGGGCATAAAAATTCTCTTTGATATGAATTGTCCTTTGATACAGTATATCTGAGATATTGTTTATTTTCAGTTTTAAGTGTTTAAGTGTGAATTAAATGCATCATTCGAGTATGTAATGCTATGAGAAGTTCACACATGTTTTATTCTGAACAATTTTGACGTGAGAAGGGAACTGCGATGGAATTCAACCTCGAGATGTGTAAATATATGTGTAAAACTTGGGCACTGTGGCGGTAAGTAATTCCATATTAGTTTGTTTATTAGATGTATCACAGAGTGAAACAGTATTGTATACTGGATGACGTTTCGAACACAATTTATTGTTCATAATCATATCAATTTTAATCACACGACTTTGAAATTTGAATTTTATAGTTTTCTTTGTCTTCTCCTATTTGTCGTAGGGGTAGTAGAATTTTCCAGATATCTGAGTGGACAGGTGTTGAATCATTTTATTACATGTATTTGCAGTTGATTCGATAAACAAAGCTTCTGTTATCAATCTCTCCCTATACCATTAAAACAAAACAATTTAGTTTATCTAATACCCTGTCTTCAATGATTATCAGGTCAAATACATAGGTCAAACTAGTAGAACAGGGGCAGTCAAACTAGCTGAACATAAATACTTAGCTAAATCTAGATTGGTTGACCCAAATAAGATAAGAAATCTAGAGAATGGTTCAGCTATAGCACTACATGCAGTTACACACAACCATACAATAGGATGGGATAGCATGATAATTTTAAAATCTAATGTCACAGAGTGTAGGGAGGGAGAGGTTGATAACAGAAGCTTCGTTTATCGAATCAAATGCAAATACATGTAATAGAAATAATTGAACACCTGTCGCAGATATATGGAAAATTCTACCACCATTAAAGCAAATAGGAGAAGACAAAGAAAACTATCAAACTCAAATTTCAAAGTCGTGTGATTAAAAATGATATGATTATGAACAATAAATTGTGTTCGAAACGTCATCCAGTATACAATACTGTTTCACTCTGTGATACATCTAATAAACAAACTAATATGGAATTACTCGAGATGTGAAGATTTTCAGACTAATTCAACGACTGACTAATTCACTCTATTGGGTGGCCTGGTGGTTTGAACTGACTCGATCTCCTAAAGTGGGTTAAACGGACTACACAACTGTTAGACTTAGACGAACAGAGTGGTTATCTGATGTTTTGATAGTTTTATCTGGTTAGCTATCAAGTACGACTGGCTGGTGTGAGTTGTAGTGAACTGCGCACATCGATCACACCGATTAGTCATATATATGGTGAGATGCATTTCTAGTAGAATGAATTTGAGGAAAATTAGTTCTCCGATGATAATTCAAATATACTTGCATTTACCTCAAGACGAAATGATTCAATTGTATTGATTATCAGTTGAAACGCGAAATCCTGGAAGGCCAGTTCGCTTCTGTGTTAATTACAGATTTTCTCTGATATGCGTGAAATTCCCTCATTGTCATAATAAAAATTCTTGTTTTACATTTTTCATGTCTTCAGTTCATGCAGCCTTAATAGGTATATTGCTAGTTCTTGTTTGTTCATATCTAAAATGTTGTAATTATCGCACTACTTAAAGGTTTTTCTTACAGCAGTATAACTGACATATGCTAGAATTTGTGGATTGGGAACTGGTTTAGAATTATATAGCTCCGCTTACAGCCTTCATTGTTTTGCGTAATGTGACATAGTTTTCCTGGAGAAGTTCAGAGAATAATAACGGGAAACAATAAGGAATTGGCAGTATACATAAATTAATAAATTACATCAGGAGGTGTTGAGTTGTTCCAGAAAGTTTCAACTTCTTGATATAATAAGTCAAATGAAAAATGTTGCTAGAAATCAACATGACATCAGACGACCATCAGCGATTTGATGAAATATTAAATTCTCATCTCACGATCACGTACATGAAAACAAAATAACATGCGGAATTACGGAAGAGTTTTAAGTAGTTGGTAAAAGCAAGCAAACAATAGTTTCATCGGGGCAGCAGAGTTGTTACCAGGATATTAGAAGTAGTTGAATAATTTTCTTTTGTATGCATAGTTCTGGTTCTTCTAATTGAATTGTGTAGGGCTTCTGCAATGCAAAGAAGACGAAACGTATTGCTTTTGGCAGGTTGTTCTTCGCTTTGTAGATTACTCTGAAACAGAAGGCATTTGTTGAGAGGAAATGACCAGTAGTGACGAGATATTGGATTATTATACTCCTTATACGGCAGCTAATATCTTTCTGCAGCCGCGTAATAATTTTTAACAATCGTTTGTGACAACTCATCACTTTTGTTACTACCCTCTTGTATCAATATCCAATTCCTCTAAACGCCTTTTGTAATAAGTAACTCCGCCAAAAGCTTGCTAATTGTATTTTTATTTGACAAATGTAATGTACACAAACATACAGAATATGTATTTGCGATTGTACAGCTAAGAAAATGAATTCGCCGAAAAACGACTTCGCTGAACTATTGGTTTTCTGTCTGTTAACATTCTCGTTAGCTTCACGTAACATATTTCTCAAGATTTTTGCAGTATGTGCGACGGTATGAATAAACGTTCACCTTTTTTTTAAAGGTTACTGGAGTTTATAAAAAGAGTCGTTTGATTTGAATAAAGCTACAACAACAGTGTGGTTTGTGCAGAATAATATGGTATCATAATTGTTTGTCTTTTTGGTTTCTCATCAGCTGCTGCTTATAGACTAAAAAAATTATTAAGTTTATGTGAAGCGAAGTTTTAATATAATTATAAATTTTACATGATGTCAGTTGACAGGAAGTTCCAGACTAAGCGAACAATGCTCAGGAAATTACGCCCATGTAGTTTTTTACACAGGCAGTTCGTATTTCAACATAGTAAGTGTATGCATACAATGGTGAATGAATTACTTAGTAAAGATGAGAGGTTCGTAAGGTGATGAGCAACTAATGAACTGGACACCAATGTACTCATTTCAGCTCAAATCATCGAAACATCAGACAAGCAAACTTGCAGTGTATTGAAGAGGGGGTGAAGTTGGAACCGAAGAATGTGTAAACAGATGAAAGAGAGACTAAAATGATCCAGTTACCAGGCCAAGTAGACACTCATAACCTCTTCTTTCTGAGCACATAAATCTGTCAAATGATATCATGTAAAATTTGCAATTATATTGAAACTTCTGTTCACATAAACCTAATAACTTTTTAGTCTGTAAGCAGCAGCTGATGAGAAGCCAACGAAACAATCAATTATGATACCATATTATTCTGCACAAACCACCACTGTTGTTCTTACTTTATTCAAATTCATCATGGGCGATAAACGCATGAAGTATCATGTAAGCTGGTCATTGCTAAATCTATTTAACATTTAGTGAAGTCGGTTCATCATTTGTTTTAAATCAAGTGAATAAAAATGACACTGGAGAATATTTCGTACATCTTTATTGTTTCAACAACGACCACAAAAAGAAAACAACAATTAAGAGTCAGAGAATAAGGTTGCGTTTAAGACATAAAATTGTTCACAGTTTCAGTAAGCATGTCGGTAGAATATCTTGCTGAGTGCTAAGTGATATGAACAGATATAGCAAAGCCATCAATGACCAAGTAGCCAGAGCCAGTCTGACTGGTAGGAAAGAATTCGCCATCGAATCATCGCAGTGTTTCAGACTTTGTCCATTAAGAAATAATGCCTATTACACATTCAGGAAAACAAAATGAAACAGAGGCAAGCATGAATTTATGTAGATGCATATATTATGTGAGAGGAATTACCAACTCATCATCAATTTCGGTGTTTATATCAGCACATCTGAGTTCTGTTAGTTTCTGTTACATTCTGAATATTCACTTGACGCCTTTCATTATAAATGAGTTTTTAGTTCTGAGTAACAGGCTTTAACTTGCTAAACTAAATAGTGTGAATGACTGAAAGCTAATGAGATTTAAAAAGCTTCAATGACAAACTCTTCATTACAATAAGGAGGAAATTTCCCGTTAGATATATTTTACAATCTAACACAGCTAATTCTCTTTATTCAAAGGCAAACTGCACACTAGTGCTGACAAAAAGCCAACGCATTGTAATAGATATTTAGACTTTGATTCGTCTCATCCGTTATCTGTGGAGACTGGCTTAGTTAAGTGTCTAACAAACCGAGCAATATCACCAAGCAGTACAATAAAAACCTAAACGATGAAATGAAATAGATAAAAGAAGCATTGGTATCAAATAGCTATCCTATAAAATATATATCGAGAATATCAAAAAAGGTCAAAATAAAACGCGATATAATACTGATATAAATCATGATAATTAATATCAGTAAAACGTTTGAGCATAGTGGTATAGATCAAATAAGTTATAATTACATTTCAATAGTTTAAACACAATGATAAGTTTTGCTCTTTTGATAGTACTTCCAGCAACATTACCGCCTATGTTCCCATCAACTTTCGAAATTCCTTTGCGTTTAAGTTAATAAATAGAGATAATGTAAAGCAACCGGTGTATTAGGTGTGAACAGTTTAACCGTGTATCGAGGGGGGCATCTGAGCCCTTAGGTAGGATTACTCGTAAAACGGGAATTCGGGTGACATTCATACCTACAAACTCATTCAAGCATGACAACCTCAGTAGGTTAAACGACCCTGTCGATTTACCCAAATAGAAAAAATAATATAACTTACAAAATACCCTGCAACAACTGTGAGTTAAGTCTACTAAATACGTCACGCCAGTCCATCGGTCAGAGTCAGATTGTCCAGACATCAGAATTTAGCTAAGGTGAGAATCATTGACCCGGTGAGGATAAGTATGTTAGAAAAGAGCTAGGAAGTTTCACTGCATGCATTAACAGACAACCACACAATAGTGGGGAAGAGGATAAAATTTCTAAAAATAATCTAGGTAGGTGGAGAGAGAGAGATTGATTACTGAATCCTTGTTCATCGAATCTACACCCAACACATACAATAGAAATGATTGGACACAAATAACAGAGATAGGGAAAACATTACTACTAATAAAATGAATGGATAGAAAATACTCCTAATTACACCTAATATCTTATTGTATACACAAGTACATTAATTACATATTATCTGGAAGAGTCCAGTAGCTAATAGTTTCTATCTTATGTTCACTAATCCAGTGATACATACTAGTGCATTGTGAAGAATTACTTTGTGATTGGCATAGTCACTTTAGTGTACATCTGCCCACGCTGGTTCTAGTCAGTATATTTAAAACTATAATGCGAGTCCCACCTGTGATTTGTTGGCATTATATTTAAATAACATAATGAGACATCAGTATTCATAAAATACTTATCACAGGTAAAAGAGATGTTTCTCATTGAAAGTTGGTAAAGTTTGGATGAGAACATATGACAGGCATTAAGAGACTATTAAAATCTAACTTACCAGTAGTAAACTGAGTGCCAGTAGTACACCAAAGACTGTATCGGTATCATTCTGGAGTTAGAAAATAAAACAAAACAACTTTTACACAATTATCGGTATATATACGTATGAATATAAGTAACAGCGCACACCTACGAATTATGTTCGCCGTTTATTTATTCTAGAATTTATCGTTTGTGATTACAAGAATGCAGAGAGAATCCTGGAGGTTTCCTGCTGTTTTTCTTTCAACCTGTTTACCTTAATTCAAAGTCCATCAAGACGACAAGTGTTTAACATGGCTGAAGTTAGTAAGCTTCACCTTCAAAGATAATCATGAAACAGCGACTCTGGTTACTCCAGTAATGACAGGATAGATTTCAACAATCCCATTGCATGATAAATTGCCAAAGCTCTGAAATGGTATCTAACTCACTTTCAGTAGAAAGTAACAATTTTTACCAAAATATCTGCAGATGTTTTACGAATAACCACTTCTATTATAAAAATGAGAATCATTGTCAGTTATCGTAGATTATTTATTCATTTAGAAAGATACTTACTCGATGTATAAGAGAATAAAGTATGACAAACATAAAAGCACTGACAAGCATCAATCCAGATATCACGTAATTCACAATATAGAACCATTTCTCACTCAGGCGTTTCATTAGGTATCCTAGTGTGACTGTTATCGCAGCCAGAAAGATAGTCAGCAACCATGATAACAGAACCCACAATTTTAAATTCCATGTTACCACAGCGAGACCAGATGATGTGGCTATTACCTGGAATATGGGAAAAATGAATATCACTTCAATGAGAATTACTGTTTTGAGAATCATGGTATTTAATTTATATCTCAGTTAAGATATTTTGAACACTTTCTTTGAGAACTTCTGAAAATATGCGGGATTTCTGAAGACCACTTACTTCACACATAATGAATAATTAGATAGTGTTCAGTCAGAGTTTACATAGCGGTTCCGTTCACAGTCTTAGGTTACTCACACCATGGATGTGTGAGTGGTTCGATGTTAGCTGGATGTTGACAACGGAAAGATTTGATATGAATTGGCAAAAGTAACAACTCGTTCAACAGGTTGAGTTATTTTCTCAGGTTACAAGAATATGGTGGAATATACTAAATTCATCTGAGAAGGGTTAATATCTAACGCAACTACAAATTTCTCACACCTCTTGAAAATCAAAATAAATATGATTCGTCTGTTGTGGGTGAAATTCATTTTGATAAAGTATCACAGTGTTATCCAGCAATGTACAATAATAATCACGTTTCGAGCACAATTTCTCCTACCATGTTATTGTGTGGTTGTGTGTTAATGCATGCATTGCAATTGCTGAGCTTTTTTTCTAAATCACTTATCTTCTCGGGGTCAAATGTTCTTACCTTAGCTAAATTCTTATGCTCTGACAATCTGACTACCCCTGACCTATTAGTTTGACCGATGTAGTTGACCTCACAGTCATTGCAGGGTATTTTGTAAATTATATTATTTTGTCTAATTGGGTCAGCCGACAGGGTCGTTTAACCTACAGAGCTTGTCCCTGAGTGAGTTTGTAGGTTTAAATACCACCCTAATTCCTGCTTTATTCAGAATCCTACGTAGGGTCTCAGATGTCCCCTCTTTATATGGTATAACTGTGGATGACTTATATTCTCTTCTATTTATGTTATTATTACTAGTTCCATAATTATTTTTATTTTGTTTTCGGCCTTTAATGATCTTCCTAATGAATTTTAAAGGATAGTTAGTTATTCATTACCAGCGCTTCTTCTATCTGTTTTAATTCACCATTTAGGTCTTTTCTTGTGCTACTTAGTGTCATGGCTCGGTTTGTTAAACACTTAACTAAGCCTGTCTTAACAGTTAACAGATGAGACGAATTAAAGTCTAAATATCTATTAAAATGCGTTGGTTTTCTATAAACACTAGTGTGTAGTTTGCCTTCTTCTATTCGTTTTATTTTACAATCTAGCATAGCTAATTCTCCTTGATATAACTTGTCTTTATACTAACATAACAATCAATATTCCAGCCTTAGAAACAGTTAAAAAAGAACTAAATGCGGATTCTGAACTCAATTATAGGACAAAACTGCCCATTGAACAAATTATTTTAGGGATTCAGTTATGCTTTAGATCCACTATATTTTAATTCCAAGGTAAAATATATAGACAAACAGAAGGTGTAGCAATGGGATCACAAATATTCCCTATCGTAGCAGATATATTTATGGATAGCTGGGAAAATAGTGCCCTCAAATCATTTAATCCTACTCTAAAAATATGGTGGAGATATGTGGATGACACTTTTACAGTGTTAAAAACAGAACATAACTCTAACTTCTTGAAACACATCAACTCACTAGCGAGGGGAATAAAATTCACACTTTAATCGGAAAATGAACTAGGAGACTTGTGATTAAATGCATAACGAAGTGAAATGCTTACCAATCCATCAACTGGACATTTTTCATCTTAATTACACGGATGAATCATGGGTTGTCATGCGCATAAACATGGTTTTAAGAGATCATCGTGTCTAACTGTGCAATCGACTACCAAATTTGCCATCATTTGAAATATTTAACAGTTATTTGTCACATTTCATTTACTTTCAGATTTACATGTGAGTGAGTGTCTCTCAGCGTCCACTATTCAATCAATGTGTCTCCACAGTGTTTAGCAAAGTCATTTCAATGAAACTACTAAAAGAACTAAACGTCACAACACTTCATTTCGATCACTACTGAATCGTTTATTTCAGATCATATATCTGACATTACATTCTAAAATACGCTAAACACCTCCGTAAACACCGTCAGATATTTATATTTTATTCACTCAGCATTCATTTTCCACATCTAAATGTACAGATGATGCTGAATACTTCAGACAAATATTTCAACAACAGTTGTAGTATTTAGTGAATTGAAATATAAGCCTGGCGTATTAAGAATTACTAGTTCGTATGTATTCATCTATTGTGATGGTCAGCTATTGGAAGAAGTATACAAGCACACATATAAATGTATACAAATGTAAAAAACTGATATACTTACACTCAGAGCGGCCATATAGTCTACTGGGAAGATGTCTTCCAATTTGTGAACAAAAATCAACACTGCTATGAGGATCGCTCCTAAAAACCTAAAAATAAGTTTAGAGATTTGATTAGTTAAACAATTTAATCCATGCGTATAATTCAGGCTCTGCTGACACTTTTATCATGAGTAAAGTATGATGCATTATAGTCAGCAAGGCTGATGATATTCAGTTATTCATGCTTCATCATATGACAATGTTTACCGGCATTAGGCCGGGAAAAAGCAGCACAAAGAACTCACAGAATAACAACAAATGGATAGAAAAAGCACTGCAACACATTCCTGAGCACTGTTCTGAAACAAAGATATGAATAAAGCAAATGAAATTTCCTATTGCTACATGTTGGCCACTATTAGGGTCATGATCATCGACTGTACAATCATTAGACATAGATGAATGATGTACTTCAGAAGGTTATTGATTCAATCTTTATTAAAACAAGTAATCCTACCTTTATAATACACTTTTTTGTGGACATGAGCCAAGAAACAGTATTCTATAAATAAGGCATTGAAATAGCCTATGGTTACCTCCGATATTTCTCTCAAATTCAACTTCGAATGTATTCAGGAAACAGGATCGCTTTGATTAAATATCTGCTAAAAATGCCTCATCAGATGTAAACTTACCTGAATACCTTTTTCACAGAAACGCTTCCGGAATATGTTTGATATGTGAATTTATAAAGTATGTGTTTCTTTACCATTCTATTATATAAGCCAGCAGTATGCAATGATGATTGGTCAAGTGTTCCGACTAAAATACCTGGACCTACATGTAACACTGCTTTACACCTACACCAGTCTGATTATTTGAATATCCAATGAAGAAGAATGAAGTGACATTGTTAGCGCTTGCGTGAACCAATGAGCTGTTTAAGGCTTTTGTATTGCACGACAAATGAATCTAAGACGGGTGACATTATTCTTCAAGAATCCTTTTAATATACACTTGATATATCAAAACTCGATAAAACTTTTTTCACAAACAGTCAGTGTTTTGTTTAAATCGATTCACCATGGAAATATACATTCGTACGTTTTCATGCCTTCTAAACTAGGACTCATTGAGTAAGGTATTCCACATACTGATTTTCCATATTACCTTTGATGCTTAGGATCCAGCGACTATGACCACAGCTGCTAATTTGTCGAATGTGACACTGAGTAGTCCAGAATACATTCTTGGTTCCGGTTAATAAGCGTACTACATTTTTATTGATTTTGATTACTGAATACTGTGAGGAATTTGTGTCTGCATTAGACAGTTATCGCTTTCAGATAAAATTGACATTCTCCCCTCTGTTCCGCTTACTTCGGAAACACATTGCATCATAATTTAGACTAAAGTGTTCTTCATTGTAATAAACTCTAACATCACTCGGATTATTTGTTCCTTTTCAACAGAAGCATTATGAAGGAAAGAACCAACTCCATATTTCTAGTGGATTTAGACAACATACGATCTCGTGTGAACAGAATTATCGTGAATTAAGCTCAGTATGCCTGACTGTTGGAAACTAAGAAACAAAATATACCATCCAGTCTGAGATAACTTGTTGATGGCATTCTCCATTAGAAAACAGCTGAGTAGAGCTAATCAACTACTAAGTCTTTCTAAGGTTATTACGCATTATTCATGGAGTTTCTCCCATTTGTCAAATAATAAATCGTCAAGTTTTCCAATCCTATACAATCCTCTTAAATCAAAGTTTTGATAATTCTACAAATACAGAACTAGGATAAATCTACTAAAGCTATGTGTTATTTTTGGTATGAAACCGGATGACTGGCTTCAGAATTTTCAAATCCTTTCCCATCAGGGAACCTCTTGCCTACGACAGTAACCGTCCCGCAAATGTCTGACAATTATGTCTTCTAGTTTTGAACGGATAACACGACACTAAATTCTGACTACGACTCCACCAATTAGGTGCATGAAGGCTGAAAGAGAATCTGTACTGAAATTTCAACACTGAAGTAAGTCTGAGCTCAACAGAAAGAATCTGCAGCTAACGCAGAAATAAAAAAACCTTTGAAGATGAGATTTCATTGAATAAAATGATTGCCGGTTTCCTTGAGGTTTCGTTGTTAATAAATACTGGGTAGTTAGCTTGTTTTTTTAGATGTACCAGTAAGTCGATCTCTGTCAACTTCGTTCCGGTAGAAATACATTGAGATATATACTACTGATAGAGTGATATGAGTAGGCGGATTTTACTCACACTAATAAGTAGTGCTTGTGGACTACCCGTAAAGAAGTGATGCAGATACCGGACATTGGTCTCAGCCTCTTATGACTGAGCTCGTCAACAGCGTTTGCCCCCAGGTATGTCGGGGAATTGCGATATAGCAGTGTTCTCTGAGCTTGCTGCTTTATCGGCAACACCTTCAGTGCATGTTTCCATTTGATAAAGTGAGCTCTTAGATTTCGCCGCGAGCTTATCACTCATCTCTCCTGGTCAACTTGAACGACGTGATTGGATGTTTTAGTCTGTTTCCACACCCTCTAGGCTAATTGTATTGGTAAATAGTTGTTTCCTTGTCTTTCAAGTTTGAATCTTTGCTTATGGAATTTCCATCATATCGATTGGCAGATATTTGTTTGTGTCAATGTATTTGTTAATTAACGATTCACTGAAATACTGGGGTTTAGAAGCCTGGTTTAGGCTTCTAAAGTATCTCTGAAATTGTTGATGCGTCTTCTGTCTAATATTTGAACGTGTGTACGCTGTTCAACTTAACTCAGAGAAGTGAATCAGTTCAATTCATCAGGATGGTTACTTGGCCAAATCGGTAATACATTTAATTAAATTATTGTTTCTCACTCGACCAGCTAATGGGAATTCATACAGTTACAGGTAGAACTTCGTGGTGGTTTCCTGTGGATACGAAGCTAGCCGTCAAAAGACATGATATACACTCCCTCATATCACTACACACAGACAACCATGGACATCAATTCGACTGGGACAACCAGTGTTCAAATATTAGACAGAGGAAATAACAAGAATGATAGAGAATTTTTAGAAGCTTGGCCAGTATTCCAGTGAATCATCAATCAATAGACACATCGAGATAGACAAAATTTATGAACCGATAAGAAAGAAACCTCACACACAAAGAGTCAAAGTTCAAGTCAAAGAAACAATCAGTTCCAATACACTTTGTAGGCTAGAAGGTGTGAAAACACACAAAAAGGCCAATCACGTCCAAGGTCACCTACCAAGAGAAATGACAAATAAACTCGTGGAGAGATCTAAAAGCTTACTTCAATTCAAATTGAAGTATGAGCTGAAGATGTCACCTAGTAAGGTGATGAAAGCTTCGCAAATTAACCATCCAGCTCAGAGAACAAAACCACATCAAAATCATCCACCTGAGCTACAAATATTCTCTATCATATCGAGACCAAAGTTGTTTCGATTACATCATCTGCTAATACCACAATATTTTTGTATAAAATGTTTTATCATCATATGAAGGTGAAAAAGGCCAACCTTCTTCATCAATTTTTCTCAAAATCACATTTGTATTAAATCTGTCTTGGTAATTTACAAAGCTGTACATATGATGATTTCGTAATGTGGAATGTACTTTCATATTAGCTAAGTCTATTTGAAATATCACAGAGTGATGCAGTATTATTAACTGGATGACACTGTGCATGCACCTTCTAAATGCAGACAACTGGCAGGAATGCTACAGTCGGGATAGTACAATACCGAAGCTAATTATCTTTTGTACATAGTCAAAGTTCGCCCAGTACTTAAACACCGCACAATCATCTTAGATACGGGGTATGAGTATGACAGGACTCGTCTTGGAAATATCCACACGACGCCTTCTACGCAGCTATGAAAGTCTTAACTAAGTGGATAGATGCACAAAATACGAAAGCGTGACAGTCTGAATAAGACGCCCAAAGATCAGCCAGACTTACTTCATCAACCTTTCATATGACGCAAATGAAATAAAATGTCGCATAGCTATCAAAAATGCAGTAACATTTAACTGGCATAATCAAGTCTCCACTGTTTCTATCATCACATTTTGGATAAAAAAACGCTCAAGGTCGTCCACAATGCGAATTAATGCAATAAATGTCACACCACACTGCAGTATTGATAATAAGATGGCGTTTCTGGCATAAATCTTTGCTTCTGATCAGATTAATTTGGTCACAGAGCCTAACAATTTGTCTTATACACCTTTTCTCTCTTTCTGTCTCTATAACTTCCATTTGTTGTTTTTTGTCACCTTCCAATATCTCCAGAATAGGCACATTCTCATTTCGATTGCACGGTTGCGATGTTGAGATTACAAACAAATCTTCAGTGATTAACCTCGCTGTGTCTTCACCTAAACACTATATCACTTCCTAACACTCTCACTCTGTCTCACCTACCCCATTTTGTGATTACATGCAAATAAATCCAGTAAAATGACTGAGCATTTTTCCAATTCGTTTCACCTAGCGCGGTCAATGATTCTTGGTCTAGTTAAAGTTTTGTTTTCCAATAATCTAGTTGACCCTAATCTACTAGTTCGAATGGAACATGTAATCAACCTTACTCGCAATCATTAAATGGTATTTGTCAAGTTACATTATTTCTCTTGATTCAGTTTGTTCGATCTTTAATCCGACAAAGTTTATCCCTGAGTGAATTGGTTGGTTTGCAGACTTATTGGGAATCCTGCGTAAGGCCTCTGACATTCATGTTTTATACGTCATATGGCAGTACTACAGAGGCTTCGAATTCTATCTTATTTTGTCCATTTTATTATAATTCTTAGATTTTATATGGTTCATCATATAATTCCGAATACATTTCGGTGTTTAATTATTCATTATTTAAATCGTCTCGCTTACTAGTCAGTCTCCTTTGCCTGATTATATAGACAGACACTGAACTAAACCCATCTTTATCGATTCTGGATGGGATTAATTAAAATCCAAGTACTTACTACAGAGAAAGAGCATGGACTCAATCTTTGTTTAACCATTCAATACCACACAAGTGCAATGGAAATGACGTAATACCTATTCCGGAGATATAGAAAAGGGTAACAAACAACAAGGGGAAGGGAGAGTGTGAGAGAAATACATCTATAAAGCAAAATATAAAGCTGTATGACTGATCGATATGACTAAGAGCAATAAATTGTGCTCGAAACGTCATCCAGTTAATAATACGGCATCGCTGTGTGATGTTTGAAATAAAGCTATATAATATGGAATTATATTCTACCACAGTGTCTAGGTTTTACACTTACAGAAAGTGTACTTCGTTCCAGCGAAATCGTTTCATAATCACTTTACAAACAACAAGAATTCGATTACACTCATAGTTTCATGCATTGGTATTAATATCTTTATCCTGAAACATGCTTTTAAATGTAGTGCAGAATTCTTAGAGGATTTCATCTCAAGGTATTTACTCCTTGTCCTGGATCTTGAAACAACATAATAATCGATATGTAGAAGAATTGTAGCTCCAAAGGATGATACTGAATCTTCTATATTTTCTGAAATAACTCGTTTAATTGGGGATCTTTTGTCGTCATCCTTCTGGACAATATCTTCAGAACAGCTTTAAGTATTATATGAAATCACTTCTCCTGACAATCACATTGACGTATTTCCTGTTTTACTTCGCCATCTGATTTTGATGATTTGAATGGTGATTCTACGGTAGCACAGAATTCTATTACTTAGACGTCAACAGTTTTGTAGTTCAGTCTTTTCTGAAGCTGTTGCTTTAAAATTTATAATAGTGGTTGTTTCGATAAATTCACCACTAATCAACTGTCCTCTGAGGTTAAAATTAGCCAAGCAACACGGAAAACAAATGGTGAAACTAATGATAACTGACTCACACAATCTAACTTAAAAAATACGAGCCTATGGTTAAATTTGAAAAGGCAACGTTTTAAGGGACTATCAAACGAGAACATGTGTAAAAATTGAAAACTGTCATTTTAATATTAAGCGAATGACACAAAGAACAAGGAAGAGTTGTCTTCAAACAAAAATTAGATGACGTTTCTAAACAACCATCTAACGGAACTCTAAATCTATCGGAACAACCATTACTAAAAACCGAAGAACAACTTCTTCAGATAGGAGTGAACTACAATAGTCTTGATGCTTCAGTAACAGATTTATGTGCAGCCATAGAATCACCACTCAAATCATGAAAATTAAATGATGAAGGGAAACAAGAGATACAATTAGATCATTCATGGAGAATTCAAATAAGTTTACTGAATACTAAAACCTGCACTGAAGGTGTCTTCCAGTAGGATGACAACGAAATCTTATCAATTAAACCAACTAACTCAGAGAAGACAACCACACACAACACAATGAACATTGGATTACCGACGACTTGTTTAAAAGAATTTCTACTGAGATGTACACTCAATGTACAATCCACATTTAACGATTTTATTTACAGACAACAAGATGGGATCACAATGGGATTTCCACTGGGCCCATTACTAGCAGACTGCTTCATGGCAAACCTCGAGAACGGCCCACTCAAATCAACTACTGACAATTTCCAACTGTATGTTAGATATGTGGACGACATTTTTATTAACTGTGATGACGGTCACGATCTTAATCAGTTACTACAAACATTAAACAAATGCCATTCAGGTACAGAGTTCACTCTTGATATTGAAAAAGAATCTAAAATCTCTTTCCTTGATGTGGAATTTACAAGGAGAGCTGGCGGAACTTTAAGACGGTCTATCCATAGGAAAACCACATGGAATGGCCGACTGGCAAGCTTTTACAACTGAGTACCAATCAGTCGAATAAGAAACCTAATTAGATCTCTTGCCACTAACGTCCGACGCATCTGCAGCTCTGATACCTTGGAATACGAACTACACTTCCTGAAAGAAATTTTCATACAAAACGGTTATCCATCAATATTCACAGACAAAAACATCAAACAGAAAATCCAAAGGCAAGAGACACCATCCATGCCAAAACAGATACATTATATGAACCTCGACTTCAAAGGTGATCTACTCAATGATTTTTTTTTATTTTTGATTTACAGCTTGATTCCACACTGTATTTTTGGTACAAGTATGGAATTTTCAGCATGGATATCGTTAGCCCAAATTTTGCAGGCCAACCATAGATATCAGGTGTGCGCCGGCGTGGGCTTGAACCCCGGACCATGTGCATGGTCGGCAAGAGTCCTAACCACTGTGCCACCGACGCACAGGAGAATTTGCACTACTTTAAGAATGACTTTCTTTAGGGCAACAATGACAGTAGTTTTCTGTAGTCACCTGGTAATCTGCAGAAGCCCAAAGGACAAGATCCCGCACTTGACCACTTGTTTATGTATATATCAGTTCACTTGTTGCTATGGAGCCAGGTACATCTGTCTGTCTGTCTGTTTTCGACATAGAACTTTGCACAAATGTGCGGAAGTTCAAGTCGCCACATTCCGTGTAGCACGCGAAGCAAGAGAAGAAAGTACAAGAAAAGCATAATAGAAACAGTGAGCAGAGGTGTGAGACAAAGGAGTAATAAAGAAATACAAAACAGTTTCATTGAAGATCATAAGTCACAGGGAGTGGATGCATCTGCACTAGCCACTGAGAACGATTTTGAGCCATGTCACCAATTGTTTCCAACCATAGATTTTTACCGTCCCGAGGACCCCAGCCTGGAAGTCTACACCTTCCTACGTGGCTTAGACCAACTGTTGTGGATTTCATTGACTGGTGCCAAGTTTTTGTTTGACCACCGCTAGCTTTTTTCCAGCCTGACCCTATATCCGCTAACATTGCTCGTCGAGGGAGGCGATGACTTGGCATACGTAACACATGTCCTAACCATCTCAGTCTTTGTAGCTTCACGACTTCGTCGATTGATTTCCCCTGTTTACCTAGAACTCGACGCCTAATCTCCATGTTGCTCACCTTATTATGCCACTTCACACGGGAAATAGAACGTAGGCACCTATGATCAAAGGCAGCTAGTCTTTTCATGTCTTCCACTCTCAGTGGCCAGGTCTCACAGCCATAAAAGAGGACGGAGCGGACTGATGAGCAGTACACCCGCCCTTTGGTCGATAGTCGAACATCTCGTCTACGCCAGAGTCGGCGTAAACTAACAAATGCGAAACGAGCCCCTTGTATTCGTGCTGAGATTTCGTCAGAGATCAGCCCGTTGGGGCTGATGGTACTTCCCAAATAAGTGAAGCGGTCAACGTGCTCTACCACTTCACTTCCTATTTTTAAACTAGGCGTCGATGCAGTCCAGTCCTGTAACATCATCTTGCATTTGACGGGAGCGAATCGCATGCCAAACATTCGTAGATTGCCGCTCAAGGTGTTTAGAAGACTCTGCATTTCGTCAGCGTCTTCGCCTAGAAGGACTATATCGTCTGCATATTCCAAGTCAACGAGATTATTCCCCGGTAGCAAGTCAATTCCTGAGTCACTGAAGTCACCTAGGGTTAAGTCCATTAACACATCTATGATGAAGTTGAATAGAAAAGGAGATAATGGGCATCCTTGACGGACACCACTGGTCGTCATCAGTTCAGATGACAGCTCGCCGTAAGCCCTCACCTGGCTGTATGAGTACGAATAGAGTGCCTTAATCAGTGCAATATATTTTCTTGGAATTCCCTTTACAGCCAAGCATCTCCAGAGAACTTCCCGATCGACAGAGTCGAATGCTGCCTTTAGGTCAAGAAATATAATGACTGTTGGACGCCGGTAGGAATGCCTATGTTCTAGAATCTGTCGGAGGGTGAAGATATGATCAAGGTACATCGGTCGTTCAAAGCGCATCCTGTCAAAAAAGGATCAAAGAACACTATCCAGCGTGGCTGCAGAAAGGAAATAATGGCCGCATAAGGAGTGCAATAATCGAACATCTCGTCAACACTGGTTATTCCATCTCAACAAACGCCAAAGACAATACATTTCCGTCTTCTTTGCATTTCAGAAGCCCTAATCACTCAGTTTGAAGAACCAGAACTATGCATACAAAAGAAAATTATTCAACCACTTCTACTTTCATGGTAAGAACTCCGCTGATTTGACTTAACTTTTGTTGGTCTGGTTATTTTTCTAACTACTTAAAACCCTTGCTTAATTCCGTATGTTATTATTTTTGTTTCCATGTACACCCTGAGCACAATTCATTAGTAATCGATTATGTATATGGTCATCTGAAAGAATATTGTTTCATCTAAATAAACTATGCTCCCATGTTACTCCACAATATTACTCTTCAGCTTCTCCCAAAACATTCCTAACGCTAGATAGAATGTTATTTGAAATAATACGCGGTTAGAGATTCTGACGTATTATGGACACGAAATTCTGGTATCTCAGTGGGTTAGGGAGTCCGCCATATTGATATAGAAATAATCTAGGTTTTCAAAGGTAAATACAGTGAAGTAACCATAGTGAACTGCGTAAAGTACAAAGTGATTTGCAAACTGTGAACTAATTTACAATTGTTAACTCGGAGTATAAATTACTCCTATTTTTGTATTCAGCACTGATGGATCGTCGAACCCTTTTTTTGCGTTACCTATAATGACTAGTGAATTGAACTTCGTTGTTATTTTTTTTAAGTCGTGTATAAAATTATTCAGAGTATTTTTAGCACAAATGATAAATAGATCAATTAATCTTTGTACCTTTATTATGAAACGTCTCATTTCGAAGTTGAGAAGAGTTGATTAGGCTCTCATAAATATATGAGTGTGTATATTAATACATCAATAAGATTTGTATCACAAATAAGGATCGAGGAGATTCTACCACAACTCGTAAGTTCTTATCAGAATATCCCTATTTCAAAAAAAGTTTTGAAATACCTCGACTGAGAAATGATCATCCTATGTGAGACTGGTGCATATTTGTCTACCTGATTATTCTTAATCTTAATTTGATTGGTGATAGAGTTTTCTAAGTACTAAGCACACATCAGTTATTCATTTCAATTACATCAACAAACTAACCAACAATCTGTCGCTCAACAGTTATGGTGAAGGAAATAGACGTCGTATGAACAGACACCTGGAGGACACAGCTGTGTGAAACCACGTCTTGGCTTGTCAAGCGCGACCTGGGTGAAAAATGAAGAGTCTGACTTGAGTTCAAGAGTGATGTAGGGGAGACTGTAGAGAACACACTGAAATGGTTATGTGCTGCTGATCCTAAAGGTTTCACCTAGAGCTCGTGAGAATTAAAAATTAAAACTTTTATCTCTCTGGTGGTTTTCAATGAAACCAACATTCAAATGTTGATTTCCAGAGATTTGATTGATTGGTTACCGGATGTCATCATCAGTTAACATCGATTAGTGAAACGTTGGAAAACCCACCAAACAGTACTGGACAGCCAACAGTTTCGTTAGACTAAGGTGACACACTTCAGCAGTACGTACACACCTTCAAGGGTTTTAGAACCCTCGATCTTCCGGTAACAAAGAGAGGTCGTAGACCATAAGGCTACTGGAACCTTATTCAATGATCCATGAATTTTAACTTTGCTGATGACATTTGCTAGTGGTCATGAATTTGCAGAGGTTGGAATTGACGGACTCCAATGGCTGAAATGTCTACGAGCTCGTCCTGTAACCAGAGGTCTGTGGATGCGTACTGATGAAGAGCGCCACACTAGGTTGACAAAGCAGCTGGCTGTCCAGTACTGCCTGGTGAGTCTCCCAATGGTTCTCCTGAAATAGACATACGTGTTCGCAGATATCTACAGTAGTGATCAAAACATAGAATTCACTAACTAAGTGCAAACATACATAATTCTCAAATTCGAATTATTTGTACGAAATCATCTAAAGATCTATGTGCTAATCACAGACTGAGACAGAACCCAAGTGGACTACTGATAATACCGAATTCTCCCACCTTCAAGTGACATTTTTACAACAGCAGAGATAATTCATGAAATACGGATCGTTATCCAACGGTAAAGGATTTTCTAATTTCTTCAGCAGAGTACTTGTTCAACATTGTCACTTTCACTGGTAGGCTTCAGTGAAGCCTATTTCTCGTTCCTGGAATTCATAAAACCTTCATTCTGTAAAATTGCCAGTTAATTTTCTTGTAAAATTCGTTTCGCAATGTCATGTAATAATTCTAATGGAGGTTATTAGTCAACAAAAACTTAACTCTGCACTATCGTGCAGGATCAAATACTTTTAGAAATCCCATAATTAAAATTTTATTTAAAACAGTCGCACATTTAAATCATTTTTCTCATTTCCAAACTGTTTTTTAGGCACACATTCTACTAGATAAAACTTCTTCAATGCAGGCAACTGAATTGATTGGTATTCTGCATAAATCCAATCGTACTGGTCCAATCTATGTAATAGTACCTCCTGCGTCAGGAACATATGCATTAATTGCATTCGTATTGATGTAAGTCTGACGCTAATTTTGAGATCAGTGTGTCGTTTATATATTTTAAACGTTTTCTCATGATACTGCTGAATAAAGTTTGCTCACTAATAGAGAAGAGCAACTTCATGTTTGGAAGGAATAGGCTTTCCACACAGAAATAAACTGAAATATGTCAATACTTTCAGTTTTTTAGACAAGAAGACATCAGTCACTGATAGGATCCCACACATTTTGGTATTGACTGTTTAAACTTGCATATATGGTATGTTATCATTCTCACACATTTTGGTATTGACTGCTAATTTTGTATATTATCATTCTCACGCATTTTGGTAGTGACTGCTAATTTTGTATATATGGTATATTATCATTCTCACGCATTTTGGTAGTGACTGCTAATTTTGTATATATGGTATATTATCATTCCCACACATTTTGTTACTGACTGTCAACCTCGCACATATGGTATATTATCATCTCTCACGCACTTTGTTATTGGCTATTAAGATCAATTATTTCAAATGCTGTTAGCTGTCCATATTGTTGTAAAATGTATAAATACCATGGCTTTCTTTATCGTTGTTGCACTTCAATACACAGTCACAGTCCAGCCTTTGTCTTTTGATATTTGCGTGCTTTACTAAGTCGGAAGGTACGACGAGCAGATAGACAGATTAGTTCAGGCGCAGACAGAGCAAGGTGAAAACGTCTTCATTCAATTCCCTACAGTTATAACAGTCACAGACAGAGGATCACCGAATAATAAATAAACCTCAATAATAAAACCAGTGGGAAGTCGACATGATTCCGATAATGGTTTAAATTCATCCAGGAATACTTAAGCGCAAAGTTTCAATTCGATTCCAATATGATGGATAAAAATATAAGAAAACACTTAATTCATATGTAACAGCTTGTCGGTGACATCTTTTACTCATAAACAGGAGGCGGCTTGAAATGTTGACCTCAGTCACACTTCTGAATTTTTCTAGAAGATACGTGAGATGGCACAGCCACCTGCTATACGTTGTTTCCAGTTATATCTCTCAATTCCTGATAAGTGGTCAAAATTAAGTCAAGCAAATTCTCATGTAAATTCTATAGGTAAAATAAATTTTTCTCATATTTAGATTCATTAACTCAACTTTATAGACTTTGAGAAGGCCTTCGACAGACAGCGTTGACCGCGAAGTAATTTGGAAACTACTCGAGTACTACGGCGTATTCCAAATATTCATCAACCTCATTCAACAGCTGTGCGACAACGGCACATGTCAAGTGATCCACAACGGAAAACTCAGCGAGACGTTTGGAGTAAACACAGGATTCAAATAAGGGTGCTTATTATCACCAATGATATTCCTAATTGTGGTGGACTGACTGGATTATGCGTCAGACAGTGGGAAACGAGAAGACAGAAATATCCTGAACCGACGCGAAGAACCTAGAAGGCCTGGATTTCGCACGTGTATGATTTATATTTGATGTCACTGTCACAAAATCAAAGACATACAAGCGAAAGCCGACCGACAAACTGGTTGAAGAAGCAGTAGGCGAAGACAGGACTCCAGGTGAACACAGACAAGACGGAGATTATGAAAATAATCAACCAACAACAACAGCAGCAGAAGCATCAAGTGCTAATCACCATCAGCTGGAGGGATTTGAAAGAAGTTGCTTCATTCACTTATCTAGAGAGCATTGTCTCAACTTCAGGAGGAACGGACGAGGATGTCAAATCAAGATTCGGGAAGGTGAGAAAAACATTCATCAACCTGAAACCAAGCTGAAAATCTTCGTCACTCATCATAAACAACAAAATTCCGTCGGATTTTCAATGCAAACGTCAAGTCAGTGAGTTCTTCTATACGGATCAGAAACTTGGCGGGCGGGTCACAAAAAAAATATTTCCAACAGCCTGTTGCAGACCTCTTTTTTATCAACAACTGTCTTCGCTGGACCTATACTGAAGATCAGATGGCCGGGCCGGAACGAATCACCAACAAGAAACTATGGGAACAAACAAGACAAGAACAAATCGCCAACCAACAAATATGCAGAAGAAAGAGATGGGTTGGACTGTCGTTGAGGTGGCCGCCACTGGGTGACATCGCGCGTGCGTCAGGCCATTCCTCGAGTGGAACCTGTCCAAGGGTGATATGGAGGAGATCGTGTGAAGAGGAGTTGAAACAGATTGGACTAACATGGATGCAGGTGAAAAGTACAGCAAAAGACAGAGGCAAGTGTAGACGTGCAGTTGAAGCCCTATGTTCCACTAGGAACCCAAGGGAGCAATAATGATAATAACTACAGCCAATCTACTGAGATAAACGGTGTGTGACAACTACGAAAAGAATATATAATTGCTCAGTGACTAAAAGCTTGCAACAACCACTAGTCCATAAAACGAGAATTTTCAAAATTATACCGCAAAACAGATGAATCTGGTTTCACTTAGAGCAAAATGCTTGGTCATGGTTTTCTAAACTTTTGTCGCTTTCAAGCTCAAATTAGTGTAGGGAACTACTGACCCCAAAATATCAAAATGAGTTGGAACAAACAAAATTGCTACAGAATCTTCAGCACGATGAACCTCTTTGCACCAAAAGAAAAAGTCTGTGTGGGGATATGGAACGTCCGCACTATGTACGAGACAGGGAAAGCTGCCCAGATCGCAAACGAGATGAAAAGATACGGAATCCAAGTGCTGGGAATATGCTAAAGCAGATGGAATGGGAATGGACTCACCAAATTGTCGATGGGTGAGTCAGTGATCTACTCCGGTCACCCAGAAGATAACCACACGCACACCGAGGGCGTGGCTATCATGATGTCACCAACGGCAACAAAGGCCCTGATGCAATGGGAGGCGATCTCGTCCAGGATAATGACCGCCAGATTCAACTCCAAAGGAAGGAAAGTGTCAATCATACAATGTTATGCACCCACAAACAACGCAGACCTCGAAAAGAAAGAAGAATTCTACAGACAACTACAGGCAACAATGGACAATACTCCAGCTGGCGACATGAAAATACTAATGGGAGACATGAACGCCAAACTGGGACCAGACAACACAGGAAGGGAACTCATCATGGGTAGAGAAGCTCTCGGAGAAATGAATGAAAATGGAGAACTCTTCGCCGACTTCTGCGCCTTCAACGAACTAGTGATTGGTGGCAGTGTATACAAGCACAAAGATATCCACAAGGCTACATGGGTGTCACCAGACGGGCAAACCAAAAACCAAATCGACTTCATCTCAATCTCAAGGAAGTGGAGGCGCAGCCTACTGGACACAAAAGCAAGAAGAGGAGCAGACGTTGGCTCAGACCACTATCTCGTACAAGGGACAATCCAAATCAAATTAAAAGCTTTCAGGGAAACAGGAGCTGCAGATAGACCACAAGCCAAGTTCAACACTCAAAAGCTGAAGGACCAGGCTACAAAGGACATCTTCATTGCAAGCATAAAGGACAAAGCCGAGATACAAATCAACACCAGCGAAAAGGTTGGCGTCGAAAAGCACTGGGAAAACTTGAAAACGGTGTGGAGCCAAACCTGCATGGAAGTTCTAGGCAGAAAGAAGAGGCAGGACAAACAGTGGCTCACTACGGACACTTGGAAACTAATAGAAGAGAGAAGGATAGTGAAACAAAAGATTATCCAGTGCACTGACGAGCAACAAAAACAGGAGCTGAATGCAAGCTACAATACACTGAACAAAAGAGTGAAGAAGAGTGCCAGGGAAGACAAAAGAAAATATTATGAAACCATGGCAAGTGAAACGGAACAAGCTGCAGGCAAAGGAGACCTCGCCACACTCTACCAAACAACTAGGAACCTTTCGGGCAAACGTTCGACACAGATTAAGCCAATAAAGGATGACAATGGAAAGTCAATCACCAAAGAGGTGGAACAAAGAAAACACTTGGCTGAACACTTCAAAAGACTTCTAAATCGTCCGCCACCTACAACGCGCCCAACAATACCAACAACGGAAGCAGAACTACCAGTGAACATCGACCCCCGACGAAATCAGAAGTCCTGAATGCAATCAAGATGCTAAAAACCGGAAAAGCAGCAGGACCAGATGGAATCCCAGCAGAAGCATTGAAAATGGACCCAGAGACAACAGCGGACTTGATGACACCACTACTGGAGAAGGTGTGGAAAGAGGGCAAAGTACCCGAGGATTGGAAGAAAGGATACTTATTCAAACTGCCAAAGAAAGGAGACTTAAGTCAATGTAAAAACTGGCGTGGAATTATGCTTCTGTCCATTCCAAGCAAAATACTAAGCCGCATCATCCTGGAGAGAATCAAACAAGCCCTAGATGAAAAACTTCGACCGGAACAGGCTGGATTCAGGAGAAAAAAGTCATGTATTGATCAAATCGCCACTTTACGGATCATCATTGAACAAAGCTTGGAATGGCAGTCACCTCTCTATCTCAACTTCATCGACTTTGAAAAGGCCTTCGACAGCGTCGATCGAGAGGTCATTTGGCAACTACTTCGCTACTACGGGGTCCCATCGACAATTACACATCTCATCCAACAGTTATACGACAATGCTGCATGCCAAGTAATCCACAACGGGAAACTTACGGAAGCCTTCGAAGTGAGGACGGGAGTGAGGCAAGGCTGTCTACTATCACCAATGATTTTCCTGATTGCAGTAGATTGGATAATGCGACAGACAACGGCAATGAGGAAACAGGCATAAAATGGACTCACACAAAAAACTTGGAGGATCTGGACTTCGCCGATGATATATGTCTGATTTCCCACAAACTGGAAGATATGCAAGTGAAAAGCAACAAGTTGGCAGAAGAAGCATCAAAGATAGGACTTCAAGTGAATATAGATAAAACAGAGGTGATGAAAAATCCTGGCCAACACCAACAGCAACAACAACAACAACAGACAACAATCAGCCCGCATTAATGGGAGGAACCTGAAAGAAACAACCTCCTTTACCTACCTACCTACCTACCTACCTACCTACCTACCTACCTACCTACCTACCTACCTACCTACCTACCTACCTACCTACCTACCTACCTACCTACCTACCTACCTACCTACCTACCTACCTACCTACCTACCTACCTACCTACCTACCTACCTACCTACCTACCTACCTACCTACCTACCTACCTACCTACCTACCTACCTACCTACCTACCTACCTACCTACCTACCTACCTACCTACCTACCTACCTACCTACCTACCTACCTACCTACCTACCTACCTACCTACCTACCTACCTACCTACCTACCTACCTACCTACCTACCTACCTACCTACCTACCTACCTACCTACCTACCTACCTACCTACCTACCTACCTGGGAGGCGTCGTTTCAACTACAGGTGGAACTGACGAGAATATTAAAGCCAGAATCGGAAAAGCAAGACAAGCTTCTATTACTCTGAAGTCTGTGTGGAGGTCAACAGCACTCACCATCAAAAATATGATCCGGATTTTCAACTCCAATGTAAAGTCAGTGCTACTATACGGATCAGAGAATTGGCTAGCGCGTCATAAAGAGCATCTCAAACAAACTACAGACCTTCATTAACAGCTGTCTTCGCTCAATACTCAAGATCAGATGGCCAGAAAAGATCAGTAACAAAGATCTCTGGGAGCAAACCAACCAGGAACCGATTGTGAAGCAAATAGGCAGGAAGAAATGGAGATGGATTGGCCACACCCTGAGGAAACCATCAAGCGACATCACTAGACAAGCCCTCGAGTGGAACCCGAAAGGGAGGCGGCGAGTTGGTCGTCGGTGCAATGGTGACTTGGAGGAGGTCATGTGAGGAGGAGATGAAAGCTTGTGGACAGACTTGGCGCGGGGTGAAAAAGTTTGCAGAAAATAGAAGGCAATGGAGGTGCGCAGCTGAAGCCCTATGTTACTATAGGAATTAAAGGATACAATAATAATAATAATCAGTTTCAAATGAAGCTCTGTACCTCAGGTGATTTAGGTTGTTTTATCCTTCTCAGGCTACCTGAGTTAACCGACCGACAGTAAGTCAAGAGCCTAGAAGCCTCACTACTTAAAAACCGTTTCAATGCTACTAAAACCACCAAGTTTTGGCTACGTTGTTCCACTTCGAATGGATGAAATGAGGAAAACATTTGGGGTTTATTTCACAATTTAGAAAATTATGGATTAATCAAGTAATTTTAGAAAATACAAAAGACAACGAGTTTACAACTTGGACAACTTAACATATAATCGAAATGTTTAAAGTGTATTCAATAACTGTAGAGAAAGAGTTGATAATGACGGCGTTCTAAGAAAATCCCCAGTGTCAACATGTAAAACGCTGTTTAACTTGACCACGGGAAACGCATTGGCTGAATTAATGAAAAGTTATTGCTTCTCATTGTGGATCGACACTTCTTCATTAGTTAGAAGAATGCATTATATGCTCACATTTTAAGCAGATTCTTGCATGCTACGTTTGGAAACCTTTTTTGTAAAGCTCGCACTGTGTGTGTGTGTTCAACGACATTATGTAGACCAGCTGGAAATACTTCACATATCAGCTGTTACAGTTGTTGTTTTTTGAACGTTAACTCTATTTCAAATGTAATAATAATAACAGCTTTATTCCAAACGGTATTTGTGGTACAGGTATGGAATTTTCAGCGTGCATTACAGTATATTGCATCTAATTACCTCATAAATTATATAAGATTTTTAAAAATAAAAATAAATAAATAAAAATAAAAATAAATAAGTTATAAATAAATAAAATAAAAATTAAAAATTAAGAAAAAACAGCGTAGAGTATTTCATTTCAAACAATGCACCACAGGATTTGAAATATAAAGTTGATGTGTGGTAGAAGATGAGAACAACAGTGTAGTAGTAACGAGGAAAGGAAAACAAAAACTAATGAGACTATTTGTTAGAGTGCTGCAGTAAGTTGATCGTGTCATACCTAACGGATTTCTCATCACATAACAGCTGTGACAGATATGGTATTGTGGAGTTTTTGTATTTGGTAGTCCTAGCATATAGCCTCCTATAACTGCTTCTAGTTCTACCAGATGAAATGCAAGGAGATAGATGCGTATAGAGAGGATGCTCGGGGTCCGACAATATTGTGTTCGCTAGTTTCTTACATGACATGCATCTCTCCACCTTACAAACATGTTTCGATTCTTGCAGAACTACATACATTCAAGTATCTAAGACAGTGTACGTCATTCCAGCATTTACATAATGTGACACTGACTCTAACCAAACCTTCTGAGGTCACATATATATCCACCAACCACAGTAAAATGCAAAATTTACTTGAGCTTATAGTGCATCGGTGGCACAGTGGTGGAATGCTTTCTGACCACGCCTAATGTAGTCCAGGGTTCAACCCAATGTCACGGATGCACCTCCTTACCTCGCTAAGCTAATAATGAGATTCATAAAGAGGAAAGGTTACGCATGACGCTAGCAACCTCATCCCGTAAAGATAAAAAAACACCATTGCTAACGAAACTCTAAGCCTCTAGATTGAAGTCTCCTATGTATCCACTGAGAAAATAAAGGAATAAAAACAAAAAAACTCGATTTAACAAATAAACTATGCATTCTACTTACGGCAATATAAATACTACTGTACAGTTTTAAATGTCTTGCTAACTCGATTCAGATTATTTCTACATATCCCATGTTTATGGCCAGCCCCGAAAACAACTTCTTATCATCGACCATCAATGATCTCCATCTTTACAAGATATACATTGATGATACTTCCATCATTTGTGACGAGAACCTGGGCCTTGAAAACTTACTTCAAATCTTCAACACTACCCACTGAGACATCGACTTTACTCTTGAAGTTGTATCCTACGGAATGTTTCACTTCCTCGAAATCCATCTGGGAAAAACACTAACAACTCTCTGAATAGGTCCATATACAAAAAACATACATGGAATGGACAATTCATCAAATTTCAAAGCTTCGTGCGCCTAAGCAGAAGGAGGAACCTGACATACGCTGTTTCCTCGAGGATTTGGAAGATATGCAGTGAAGAGGTTATTGATAAAGAACTGTGTAGTAACTAAAGAGCATTGATGTAAAAACGGTTTTCCTCATAGGTTCACAGACAACAATCTCAAATCAAAGAAGACTTCCGAACATGTCCGTTCCGTCCCAAAGAAGATACTTCTGCTTAATCTACGATTCAGAAGTGACACTGAAGCAGAAATCCTTTCTGCAAGAAACTGCTTAACCAGAACGCGAAAGACAAGGCGCCTACTTGAAAGACGTGCTCGTAAACATAATCCAGCCTGCCTAATAAAAGGAGAAGGAAAACGTTTATATAACACTGAGACAGAACATCTGGTTAATTCAGCACCATTCGAGAAATCCCTCAAACTTATATACAGGATTGGATCAAAACCTAATAAAGGCAGTAAAATTAGGACATCTTGGCATAGCCGAGGCACTAGCTATCCAATGGCTATGTATTCAAAAGAAATATGTCCAGCCATTGTCCCTGCCATGGTCATCATAAACAAGTAATTCTTTTAGCAGTGACTATCCTATTATTTTTCATATCAGAACTTCTTGTCTAATTTGTCATTATATTATTTCTATATATATAAAGTCCCAAATTGCACAAACAGTTATTCGTCACATTAGTTATGATCCCACTTGAATTTTGTTCCAAACATCCACCTTATTTTTTTCATTTCTATATTTCCCACCCCTAATGTCAATCCTCTCAATAATTATGATGCTGATGTGTTTGAGTTTTATCCTTACCACTCTGTTTATCATGGCGTCTGTAATTTTATTGAAATGATTAATGCTTGTTTTATTTTTTCTCTTCCTGCATATTTTAGAGTCATTAGTGTTACCTTAACTTTGGTCATGTTGTGCAACAGAAGTATGTGGAAATATACGAAAACTATGACTACTTTAATCACCATAACAGTAGGTTATTCTGTATTTGAAAGAAAATGTTGGTATTTCTAACCTTTACTGTATTTATGCTGACCAGTTTAATAATTCCTGCATCGATTCCCGCATCGATCTGTCTTACATCACTTATCTCAGGCATTCATTCCAATCCTTAAGGCATATGGCTTCAACAGCGCATAATCATTTCACTCTGTTCTCTTAAGCCTTTTCAGCTGGCTCCATGATTAGTCACAGGCATTCATTTCCTCCCCACATGATTTCGTATCATGCTACCCTCATTCGACCAAATAATCGTCTTTCAATTCAGGTTCCACTTAGAGGTGTGTCTACTGTGTGATTTCCTTCAAGGGTGGGTATTCCCTTCCGCATAATTTTTTGGAAATAGGTACCTATTTGTTTGGCTGATTGCACAAGTTCCTAATTATCGCTGATCCGCTATTATTACGTAGTCTTCAGTGTGGATCCAGAGAAGTCAGCTATTGATTGCAAGTCTCAAGAAGCCTGTTGACGATGTCTTTTGTGATGCTCCAATTCTCTATACCATAAATAGTTGAAATTATTATTCAGACATGCCTCGTCAAAGTATCAAATATTTATTGCAGCCTTTTATATCAGCAGTCTGTAAAAGTTGGGATTCATTCAGACTGAAACATTTCTGTATTTTTTTATAAATACCCATCCTACTGCGATAGGGGATATTGGTGATCCATCCCACTGCTACACTTGTTTGTCTATATATTTTACCCTGGAATCCCTAAAATAATTTATTCAATGGGCAGCTTTGTCCTATGACTGAGTTCAGGAGTTCTTTCAAACTCTAGACTAACTAACTAATTCATATGAGATGAAAAATAAACTAAATGACATTCAACTTGAGAATGATGAAAAAATGGTTAGTTTTGATATAACTAGTCTTTATACTAATATACCAGTTAATATGGCCTTAGAAGCAGTTAAAAAAGGACTAAATGCGGATCCTGAACTCAATCATAGGACAAAGCTGCCGACTGAAGAAATTATGTTAGGGATTCAGTTATGCCTCACATCTACAATCTTTAAATTCCAAGGTAAAATATATAGACAAACAGAAGGTGTAGCAATGGGATGGATCACCAATATCCCCTATCGTAGCTGATATATTTATGGACAGCTGGGAAAGTAGTGCTCTTAATATGTTTACTCCCACTCCAAAAATATGGTGGAGATATGTGGATGACACTTTCACAGTGTTAAAAACAGAACACATCTCTAGCTTCTTGACACACATAAGCTCACAAGTTGAGGGAATAAAATTCACATTTGAATCGGAAAATGAACAAGGAGAATCAGCCACAGTGTTAGATTGTAAAATAAAACGAATTGAAGAAGGCAAACTACACACTAGTGTTTATAGAAAACCAACGCATTTTAATAGATATTTAGACTTTAATTCGTCTCATCCGTTAACTGTTAAGACAGGCTTAGTTAAGTGTTTAACAAACCGAGCCATGACACTAAGTAGCACAAGAAAAGACCTAAATGGTGAATTAAAACAGATAGAAGAAGCGTTGGTGTTGAATAACTAACTATCCTTTAAAATTCATTAGGAAGATCATTAAAGGCCAAAAACAAAATAAAAATAATTATGGAACTAGTAATAATAACATAAATAGAAGAGAATATAAGTCATCCACAGTTATACCATATAAAGAGGGGACATCTGAGACACTACGTAGGATTCTGAATAAAGCAGGAATTAGGGTGGCATTTAAACCTACAAACTCACTCAGGGACAAGCTCTGTAGGTTAAACGACCCTGTCGGCTGACCCAATTAGACAAAATAATATAATTTACAAAATAACCTGCAATGACTGTGAGGTCAACTACATCGGTCAAACTAATAGGTCAGGGGTAGTCAGATTGTCAGAGCATAAGAATTTAGCTAAGGTAAGAATATTTGACCCCGAGAAGATAAGTAATTTAGAAAAAAACTCAGCAATAGCAATACATGAGCTAATACACAACCACACAATAGGGTGGGAGAGGGTTAAAATGCTAAAAAGTAATCTAGGTAGGTGGAGAGCGAGAGAGGTTGATTACTGAATCCTTGTTCATCGAGTCTACACACAACACATGCAATAGGAATGACTCATCTCTCATACCTGGAATATGGAAAATACTACTGCTAATCAAATCAAGTGAAAAATAATGGTACTATATAAATGAAGTTAGGAAGTCGTGTGTGTATCTTAATATGTCTGTTCTTAACTTTGAAGCATTTACTAAGCGACTGACTGAGTGCAGACAAATGGTATTTCAGCACGAAATTTTAGTGAATAGGAACTGCAGATGCATACCACTTCAGAATAACTCGTCACCTAACTGACTTGGTGAACCCTTCTGCTCATGACGTCGCGCTGGAATCTCAGGTAATTTCCTGTATATAGGCATTTACCAGTGAACATCAGAATAATTTTGAAGTGTTGGTTTGCAGGAACTTGTTTAGTAACATGTTTGATCACTGAATGACATCAAACTTTATGTAGCAGTTCTAGTGAGAAGGCATAACCAGTAGAGTCTACCAAGATGGTTAAGCAAAGAGTAACTCACCAATGACATTCGCTGGTGGTTGGGCTTAGATGGTGAATCTGTAGACGGTGAAGTTGATGGGCCACTTGATTCCCTGTGAATAACTGAGTAGTCAATAAGCTCGCCTTGTAAACGGAAGGTCCTGAATGGGTGAGTACTGTTGAACAGTTCTAACAGCTATCCAGTACTTCCTGTTTTTGTTCCAGTAATACTCTGAGTTGTGCCAGCCCTCTGCCGACTAACATTTGAAAAAAATTTTTAATAGTATTATAATTATAGCAGGTAGTGACTTGAAAGATATTACCATTGTACACTAAATCACTGGCCACCATTTCATTTTTTACACAGACTCCCAGTTTTCGCTTGCCTGTCAATTAAAAATGATGAATGACTTGACAGCTTGTATATCACATTGCAAAATGTCGAACATCTTCCCTTATGCAGTTCTGAGGTAAAATCACTAGGGATAGTTTAAGAAAGTAAGGTAGTCGTCCAATCGCGTGGTCTCGAAATGAGGAAATTTTCCTCTATTTTTAATATGTAGGTATCAGGTACCCTGCACACCTCAGTTTAGATCATGAGATACTATGCAGCCATCTAAATTGATCATCAAAAGGAAAAAACTATTTTATAACCTTCGTTTAAAACATTACTGCATGAAACTATATACTACTGGCGGTTTGATATGAGTAGTTGTATGGCGCTCACATAAATTTGTTATCCTGACTGCCTAGGCATATTGAAGTGATGACCTAAATATCCGACGCCCGTTTCGCTAGTTTGGAACCAGGCTCACTTGGAATTATGACTCACCTCAGTTTCTGGTATACTACTACTGACGTCAATCAATCAGTAGTATAAATCTCAGCACGGATACAGAGGGCTAGTTTCGCATATGTCAGTTTACGCCGTCTCTGGCTTAGTTGACGTGATATCCGGCTATCATCCAAAGGGCAGGTGTACTGCTCATCAGTCCTCTCCGTCCTCCTTTATGACTGGCTGTGAGACCTGGCCATTGAGAGTGGAAGATATGAGAAGATTAGCTGTCTTTGATCATAGGTACCTGCCCTCTATCTTCCGTGTGAAGTGGCATGATAGGGTGAGCATTATTGAGGTCAGATTTCAGCCGAGTGCCAGGTAAGGTGGGGAAATCAGTCAACGAGGGTGTGAATTTACATCGACTGAAATGATCAGGACATGTGTTACGTATGCCTCGTCATCGCCTTCCTCGACATCGGGCAATGTTAGCTGACATAGGGTCAGTCTAGAAAAGAGCTAGAGGCGGTCAAACTAAAACATAGCTTCATCAGTCAATGAAATCCACAACAGTATGTTTAGGCCAGTCACGTAGGAAGATGTAGACAACCTGACTGGTTGGGGTCCTCGGGACAGTAAGCACTAATGGTTGGAAACTATTGGTGATATGGCTCAAAATCGTTCTTAATGGCTGGTGCAGATGAATCCACTCCTTATGACTTATAATACCCAGATGAAACTATGTTGTTCTTCGTTATTACTATTCCTTTGTCTCACACCTCTGTCTACTGTCTCTATTGTGCATTTCTTTTACTTTCTCCCCTTACTTTGCGTACCGCATGGAGTGTGGCGACTTGAACTGGTGCACATCGGTGCAAAGTTTTATGTCGAAAACAGACAGACAGACAGAGTAGTATATGATTTCATGCATTAATGCCTGCTTTCTTGACCAACTTTTATGCCATCAAATAAATCACTCTGTGTAACAGGAATAACCTCGGTTTGTTAAGAAAACTGTGATGTAATAATTGCATCTTGGACTGTGTAAGTTACAAATTACTCCGCGAAGTGAGAATTTGAATTCATTCTGAACAGTTCTTCGACTCATCATCAAATAAACAGGGGGTAATCAAATTTGTATTTGGTCTTAACAAATACTACACTTTAACTGGAGGAAAAAGACCGACGAAACGAAAAGAAATTCTTCACTTTTGTGTCAGTGTTTCCTTTCGAAACCTTAAAATAAATATTCGCTCAATTATGTTTTAGATTATTCCCATTCTATCGCATTCTGGATGCATTACAGGATTTCGAACGTGAATTTTCAATAAGGGGATTGTTATTTCCCATCGGATAGATTTGCTAGCTTCACGCCCAACTCTCCCTCGTCCAGAGCTTACCACCGCTCAGCAGTGCGTTGGCCGTTAGTCAAACACAGATTAAGTTTGCAGCTGCCAAGCTTTCCACTATTGAAACATTCTAGCTAAATTGAGTCTCCTCGAAATAAGGTAGAGAATTCCGCTTATTCCCGCCAGCTGTATGTTGAACACCCTGTAAAGTATAGTTTAATAGCAACTTTAAAATACCCGCTTGTGTTTATGAATTATTTCATGAAGAAATACGTATCCAGTAGTCTCATCACCATGGAGTGAAGGTGGAAGATAATGGACTTAACAAGAAAACTTGGTTAGCTGAGCATGCCTTTCTTTTTGAAATAGACGTTTCAATAAATTTACTTTATTACAAAAGTTTTGAAAAAGTAATTATCCCCATCTCCTTTATTTTTAATTAGAGTCTGTTATGGTGTTCCGCCATCTGTATAGCATTTGCATATCCACTTCCAGAAACCAAGTTTATCGTGTTCACTATTTGCATTGTACTGAATGCTTTAGCAGTTACGCTTGGAAGAACAATCCATCGGCTTAAAAGGAAAGTATTACTTTCACTGTTTACCGTGTCATTGATAATTGATTTGATTGGAACAGTAATGATTTATCTTTCATTAGGCATCTATCCTATAGTAAGTGAGGACGTATTTTATAAATTTTAAAAAAAATTTTATCTCGAAAATTACTCAATCAAGCCACCAAGAGGACAAAACAACTCTACTTCTCATGTTGTTTTTTTCTCTGAACTTGTTCAATATGCTTCTGTCCAAATCTCCTGGATGTTTCATTGTTTAGTGTCAAAGATTCACGACTGTTTAGAAGTGCACCTAATAGGATTCACTGGACTAAAACTTTCGAACACTGCCAAAACTGAAGGCACCGATGACCGAAACCAATGTGTTGTGGTCCGTAATTTAGAGATTAGTCTTCAGCTTCTGTTGTAAAGCAACCAAAACTTTCTTGACTAACCCGACGACAACCAAATAAGAGTTACTTGCGCTAAGATCCATTGTGCTGTTCAACGGTAATAACATCAAAAGCTCAGTAATGCCGTTGAACAACTACGTAAATCAAGGAATTCTTCAGTACAAAACAGGAAATGTAGACAAAAAAATTACTTAACCACAAATCAACTTTAAGAACCATCTGAGTATCAGGTAGAATATTCCCAACAATCAGGATTCAATACTCTGTCAATCAAGAATAAACACTTGGACTTTAATTCATGCCATCCAGAATCGGCACAGATAGGTTCAGTTAAATGTCTATATACATCTGGTCAGGAGCCTAACTAGTAAGCTAGAGACTTTTTAAACAATGAAATCAAACAAATAAAGAAAATCTTACCAGTGAATAACAACTCACCAGAATTTATTCAGAGGTTAGCAATAAAACTGACAAAAAATATTATAGAATCCAAAGCCTCTGTAGAACTATCGTAGAAAGAAGAAATGTCAGTGACCTTTCGTCGATTTCTTAAATCTGTCTGCCATTAAAACCAACCAACCAATTCACTCAGAGGTAAACTTTGTCAGGTTAGGGATCCAATAGACCCAATCAAGAGAAATAATATAACCTAACAAATACCATTTAATGATTGCGAGTAAGGTTGATTACCTAGTCCAGTCAGACTAGTAGATCAGCGTCAACTAGATTATTGGAAAACAAAAATCTAACTAGACCAGGAATCATTGACCATGCTAAGTGAAAATAAACTGGAGAAATGCTCAGTCATTCCACTGGATTCACTTGCACGTAATCCCAATATGGCATGGGTGGGAGAGGGTTAGACTATTAGAAAGTGATATGGTGGTTAGGTGGAGAGACAGCGACGTTAATCACTGAAGCTTTGTTTGTCGTCTCAACATAGTACACGTGCAGTCGAAATGAGGTAATGTCTTTCCCGGAGATATAGAAGGTGGCAACAAACAGCAAATAGAAGTTGTAGAGACAGAAATAGAGAAAGTGTGTATAAGACAAATTGTTAAGCTCTGTGACCAAATTGATATGCTCGAAAAGTTATTTAGTCAGTAATGCTGCATCGCTTTTTGATATTTAAAATAAACTTGTCTAATATCGAATTGTATTCTACCACAGCGCTAACTTCTACACTTTAATATAAAATCAATTACAAAACACTTTTCAAGGACAGTTCAATGAAAAATCTACACAGACAGCCTTGATTTTATTCACAAAAGTCGAAGTCATAATACAACAAATCGTCAGTGTCATTACAGAACCAAAAAAGGAGTATTAAAAGGAGAGATTAAACAGGAACAAAGACCAATAATTAAGGATTAAGGCGGTAGTTGAAACGCCAAAGTTATACTAGTGATATCAAGGTCTTTGAGTAGAGATTTGATAGATTGTTTACAGGATGTCATCATGAACTGTTGTCGGTTAGATAAACACTAGAAAACCCACCAGGAAGTACTGGTCAGCCAGCAGTTATGTCAGCCTAGGCTAACAGTCTTCAGCAGTACACATCCACCACCAGAAGTTGGAACCCTACAGCTTCTGGTTACAAGGCGAGCTCGTAGGCCGTTATGTTACCAGGACCTCATCTAATGATCGATGAATTACAACTAGTGATCGCGCAATATCATGAATTGGCAGGAGGATCGATAGGCTAACCATTGGATCGGGTTCCAGTGGCCTAATGGTCTACAAGCTGGCTCGCCTTGTAACCAAAAGGTTGTCGATTCCAACCCTTGGTGGAGAGTGTGTACTGCTTAAGAGTTCTACACTAGACTGAAGAAACAGCTGGCTGTCCAGTACTTTGGGGTGGGTTTTTCAATGATCCTCTAACCAATTTCAGTTCATGATGAAATCTTTTAACCAATTACGAACTCTTATGCGTTTCTGAATGCAAAATGATTCACCAATGTAGTAAACGCTTCTAATGAATGTATCACTGTTCTTATATGTTCATCAGTACTAAGTTGTGTGCAGTGACGAGTGGAGAAAGAATAAAATGATTCGATAACTGGCATTTCAAACTGTTGCTTTCAAATCTTCTTACATAACTTTCATTTCTTATTCTTTTAGCGCAATTTCCAGGCCCTAGCTGAAATTTGCTGGTGTGCAGGTGCATGTATCGTAAGTTGAAATTCACTTTGTTAATTTTATGATGCATTATGTCAGATGGAAACCTCTGTCTGTGTTAACTTGTCGGCTCTCATTAAGGATATTTTGAGGTTGTGATGGACGGTAACTTGATGTGGAATCCAGGTAAAATATTTCCTTGAATTTGAGACTCAAAAGCTAGATGTACTTTTACTCTCAGTAATAAAATTAGTCAGCTGGAAATGGAAAAGTTAACTTCAACACATAATGACTTATAACAGTTACAAAAGAACAGGCCTAGACAATAACGCTCTTCGGCATCTGAAAAGATGTGTGCTTGGTTTCAGTCTAGTTAAAAAAACACCATAACCTAATAGAGGTTTCAGGTTTATCCAGATGAAAATTCCTAAATAGGACGACTTTACCTCTAGTCGTCATCCACGAAAGAGTTTTCACTTACTGCTATATCAAGCAGTCAACGTAACTATTTGAGTCTTCCGATGAATCAGTCATGAGCCGTAATATCCTAATCACAAGGCCTCTGGTTAGGTGAGACGAGTAGTTCCACAGTACACATATCAACTGGCAGTGCTTAACTGCTAACCATGTACAAGTGAACTAAACACTGAACTGCCGTTTCGCTCATTTGTGGGGTCATCTTCTCGGTGGTGTACTCTTTTTAACTTAGTTCAACGAGCTGATTCAATTCATGCCAGCCGATTTCAATGGCTGATAGTTCTATGCATTTATGCTTGCTTTGTCGACTACCAATTTTGATATCAAGGAGATCACATATTTTGTGTGATCTGAATACACTTTAATGTCAAAGGAAACTATGATGGAATCCTGCCTCGAACTGTATAAGCTTGAAACTAATTTTTAAACTGAGAATTACATTTTCTTTATCAACAAAATCATCTTTAGAGGCTAAACACACGTATTTATATCTACCAAAAGGGTATAATATACTTTTATCATGTGTGACCAGAATGGTAACATCGAGATGATAACTAGGAAGTTCAAAAGCTTCCATTATGCTATCGAGTTCGATGGGAACTAGAGATGATGTTGGAATTTCATTTTTTGGATGATATGCTAAATAGGAGATATGACAGTCATCTCCAAAGATCAATCTACAGGAAACCAACTTCGAGTAGTCAACACGTTAATTTTCATAGGTGGGTCCTTTAGAGGAAAAAGAGTAGTCCGGTCCACTCTCTACACTCAAGAATAAAAAGGATATGCACGAGTGATATAGTCTTTGGTGACCTGAAGAGACTCAAACTAGTCCTCGCGGAAAATGGATCTCCTTCAAGATCCATCGAGAAAAGCATAAAACACAGTTTTTTTTTGTTCAGCGAAGAAATTTTTCTCAACGACTTCATTTTCATGCTGTACAGTGGTATTTATATTACACAAAAAAGTTATTAAGGGTAGTGAACTAGATAACCCCCGATCAAATCTCCTTAACAATGGTTATCCCACAAGGTTTATTGAACGTAACATCAAGAAAGAATCTGCCTTATGCAATCAAAGTGCCAAAGAAAAAACTGTTTATGAGTGTTGTATTCAAAGGTGATACCATTTCAGAATTGATTAAAAATCGTTTATCTAAATGTATTAACGCACTTTTCCTGCAGCTGACTTGCGGCTAGGTTTTACCAGCCGAAATATGATTAGACAATGCGCGTCAAGGATAGATTACTGCTTTTGTCCACATCTGTATGCATTTACTCTTTTACCTGCTCCTGTGGAGCTGTAAGTGTACTCTCCGAAAACGTGTAGCTGAACACTACCCGATTTGGTTATTGAAAGGCGAACGTAGAACTGCAAAGACGTCTATTTGTGATCACCTGTTAGAGTTTGGTCATTCAACCCCACGTGATTCATCCTTCAAAGTTATCTACATGGCAAAATCAAATCGATCCAAAAGTTTACGTTTTCTGCACTTATGCATAGCAGAAGCTTTAGCTATACATGAACAGAAACCTAAATTATGTGTTCAAAAACTTTTTATCAAGCCCCTTTCTTTACCTTGGTTCTTTCTAGTTTTTATTTTATTTTATTTTACCACTTGAATTCATTCCACTTCACTTCACATCTTCATTCTTATCGTAATCGTACTATTTTTAAATTTTTCAGACAACGCTTGACATTTTTTTAAAAGTATTTTTGGTATCAATTGACTTACACAACAATCTTTAATAATTTTGTAATTCATCCACTTCAACTCTACCCCTTATAACATTTTAATTATCGTTATTCTTATCACATATATATATGTATATTGACTGAGCAATGATTTAGCGCCACTTAATAACTTTTTCTATAATATAAATACGACTGTACAGCTTGAAAATAAAGTCGTTGAAAAGAAATTTCTTCGCTTAACGAAAAAGAAACTGAGTTTTTACTTATGAATAAATGGGTAAGATGAAGCGAAAACCCAAAAGAACCAAAACAGTGTTATTGACGAACGCTGAATTTAAAGGTGATATCGCAGCTGATATTTTGAAAAACCACGGCTTATCTGGATCACTGAGAAAAGCCTTCTTTTCAGGTGAGCTGTGGATCACCTTTTAAAACCAACAGATGATCAATGGATGTGTGAATGATAAACTGTCAATTTTAGGCACTTCAATGTGTGTTTATAAATTCACCTGCTCCTGCAAAGCTATTTACATTGGCCGCATAACGTGTATAGTTTCCAAACGAATCTCTGAGTATTATTCGGTATTACTGGGAAAACGACAAAGCAAGACAGTTGCTAGCTCGATTCTTGAGCACTAGATGAGTTCAAGCTATGCACGTCTACCAGTGTCATCTTTCAAGATTATCTACAACAAGACACCGAATGGTACAAAGGGTGTTTACTTTATTTATGTATGACGGAGAAGTTGGCAATTGGTCAGTATAACCCCAAACTCTGTATAAAGAAAAGGTTTGATCAGACTCTACTGTGATCTTAACTTCTTCATTAGTCCTTTTTGATGTGGTTGTGTTCTCTGAGCTGGATGGTTAATTTGCGAAGCTTTCATCACCCTACTGGGTGATATCTTCAGCACACACTTCAATTCCATGAAGTGAGCTTTTAGATTTCTCCACGAGTTTATTAATCATTCCTCCTGGTGATCTTGGACGTGATTGATTGTTTATGTGTGTTTTCACACCTTCTAGGTTACTTGTATTGGAACTGATTGTTTCTGTGACTTGAACTTTGACCCTTCATGTGTGAAGTTTCTTTCTTATTGGTTGATAAATTTTGTCTATCTCGATGTGTCTATTGATTGATGATTCACTGGAATACTGGCCAAGCTTCTAAAAATTCTCTAGCATGCTTCCTGTTTCCTCTGTCTAATATTTGAACGTTGGTTATCCCAGTCGAATTGATGTCTGTGGTTGTTTGTATGCTGTGAGGTGATATGAGCGAGGGAGTGTATATCATGTCTTTTGACGGCTAGCTTATGTTCGTGGATACGAAGACGAAGAGGATGTCGTCCACTTTGGCCAATGTAGTGTTTTTTGCAGTTGTTACAATTTATTTTGTAGATGATGTAGGTTTTGTCTTCTTTCGCTGTTGAGTCTTTTTGGTTGGTTAACCGAAAGCACCCAAGGAAAGCACAAAGAAAATCGCCTTACCATATATAAAGGTTATCTCAAGAATCCCTACAAGACTCTTCAAACCTTTAGGAATTGACGTCGTACACAAACCAACAGAGTCACTTCACTCACTTCCATGTCAACCAAAAGACGCAACAGCGAAAGAAGATAAAACCAACATCATCTAGAAAATAAACTGTAACAACTGCGAATTCACTATATTGGTCAAAGTGATCGTCCCCTTCGTCTTCGTATCCACGAACATAAGCTAGCCGTCAAAAGACATGACATTCACTCCCTGGCTCATATCACTACATACAGACAACCACGGACATCAATTCGACTGGGATAACCAACGTTCAAATATTAGACAGCGGAAACAACAAGAATGCTAGAGAATTTTTAGAAGCTTGGCCAGTATTCCAGTGAATCATCAATCAATAGACACATCGAGATAGACAAAATTTATCAACCAATAAGAAAGAAACTTCACACATGAAGGGTCAAAGTTCAAGTCACAGAAACAATCAGTTCCAATACAAGTAACCTAGAAGGTGTGAAAACACACATAAACAATCAATCACGTCCAAGATCACCAGGAGGAATGATTAATAAACTCGTGGAGAAATCTAAAAGCTCACTTCATGGAATTGAAGTGTGTGCTGAAGATATCACCCAGTAGGGTGATGAAAGCTTCGCAAATTAACCATCCAGCTCAGAGAACACAACCACATCAAAGTCATCCACCTGAGCTACAAATCTTCTCTATCATATCATTAGTCGTTCACTGTAATTTTTTATTTTTTATTTTTAATGATTAATTTGTTTTCACTTTAGTTGATTCACTACTAATGCCTTCACATTTTCCTTTTGTACATTTTTACACCCTCTTCACACTTATTAGATGGAAACCCAACTACCTCTCCTCTCACTCAATAACAATTTCAGCGTTATCAATTCTTTAATGCTTTCTTCCTTTGTGTGATTATTGAGTACTGCGTGATTTACATCGTCTGTTTTTACTTTTGAAGCCACTTCTGAGTCATTATACCAGTTGTGTCACCCCCTTACCCTATTACTCTCTAGTTGACTACGATACATTTTTGGTAAATATAAATACGACTGTACAGCCGCTGAAGACGATTTCGTCGATAAAGGAAATTTTCTTCACCGAATTGTCTTTTACTTACTTCATGACTTAATGAGCATTTCTGGTGTAACTGAGAAGTGAATTTATGCAATAATCAGCTCACTCAAGTAGCCAGCTAGAAATCAGGTGGCATGAGATGACTCAGCCCATTGAGCCGAGTCAAACCGAGTACGACGATGATAATCTTGGAAGTCCGCTGGCTGACAGACAGATGTTGATCTCAATCAATCACCTATGTTTAATAAATTCACAAATATCATGTTCATTTAAATTCATTGAGAAAAAAGTTGATAGTTTTCACTTGAGGTACTTATCATTCATCATCTGGATTACTTTCCTCTTTAATTTCAGGTAACCTTCATAACAATAAATGCTCTGTGAGATGTCAATGTTCAAGTCGTATTGTTGTCTTGATATTCCAGAGACTATCAAATCTGAAATCGTATCGGACATTTACTGCTGATTTCAAAATTGAAAGAAAATAATCAAAATCATAACTCCACATTTTTTGTCAAAATAATACTGATAAATAAAAAACATTGAACTCCATAATAATTGGAAAACTTTTCGTTTGTTTTCTAATATCTTCGTCGTGATAACGCTAGAATCAGATAACAATCAATGAAACTTTCCAAAGTATTGATTCTTTTTGTGTTCTCGCTGTTGTTGAGTTGTTTGGTTTTGTTACACAACCTTCAGCTGACTTTGTCAATTAACACTCTCAGTGTGACCTGTTCATCCATGGTCTGATAACTCAGGCTCTATGAATTCTCTGGTATCAAGTAGTTGGAAGCAATCCGCATGAGGCGTTGGAAATAGGTTTCGTGCCAGTCAGCAAGTTGTGTCTCGAGTCTGAGATTCCAACCCACGGCATACAATGAGTTCTGGATGCAGTCAGAGATGTTACCAGTGAGCTATTCAAGCTAGCGACTGACCTCATTTAGGACGGGTAATGGTTACTTTGACTGAACACTAGAGTGTAACTGGCGTCATGGCACATTGCACATTTGATTGATCGAATTCAGTTTGCACCATAGATACGACTAGACACATTTCACTAGGTACTGACTAGTGTTCAATCGGAGAATCCTCTGACAACAACTAACAATGATATCAAATAGAATAGAGAGGAGAAATCAGACAAAATAATTCTGTACTTTCACTCTTGACTGGGACAACAGATAAGGGAAAATTTAGAAACTCATTCATACGGGAAGCAAAATTTAGATGCATCAATGCTTACTCCATTCTGTTAGCGATCGTTAGTAATTACACACACACACACACACACACACACGAAGGTGTACTCGGATAAAAGTTGTAGGTAAGATAAAATGAGACGGTGCGCTTATTCTGAAAGGAATAGGGGGCAAGCGTCTTTCGAAGATAGAATTCAGAAAAATGGATATCCAGCGAAGCTTTCCATAATACATATCTTACCTTTACAACGAATGATTAACAAAATCACACTTTGAATCCAAGACAATAATTTTTCTAGGATAAATGAAGAACATCATCTTTGATGCTGAAAGAAAATCCCTATAGACCACTACATTTTAAACTTAGCTCTAAAAATGTCACCTTAAATGAGTGTGAAAAGTTCACAGCTAAGCCGTTAACCCAAAGAAGGCTAAAATATGACAACAGTCACTTGAATCACTCAGCTTATCCCCTACTTTGCTATTTTGTTCTAACCGAAGGCTAACCAGCATTATTATTCACATTTTCAACGTGTTTTTGAACGACAAGTCTAAGGATTCGCTATCCTTTTCGTGCTACACGAAGAGAGAATGGTAACTCTAACTGCTGCACGTCTGTGCAAAGTTCTAAGTTGGAGCCATTCAGTCAGTCAGTCAGTCTTATCCTTTCCTACTGATAGCTAGTACTCTTTGTGCCTCATCGTCACTTACGTGCTTCCACTAGCCCTGCCTTTCACTTCGCTAACAGGTGTGTCAGTTTATTCATTAAAACCTTAACAAGACATCTCAGTTTTACACTAATAATATTCATTGCGTCAGAATTCCACAGAGTCCTTAGATTCCGTAACATTGACTCAATCATCAATAAGCCTGCCTAACAACCTGAAGGTTCTGTGTTCAATCCCTGATTGTGGAGTCATGAAGTATATGACACTGAAGAGTCTCAAACAAGGAAGTGGCACCTTTCCAGTAATCTGTCGTTTCTACTGGTTTCCTAACTGAAGTCAATAAGTACTCAAATATACGAACATCCTATACCACAGATTTATTACGAAATAGAAAGCGTCATGTGAATAATCTGTTCAACACGTCTACTCATATCCTAAAGCAACTGATCCTATGCTTATGTACTGTGATTTCCTACTGACAAGCTTATCAAGTGTCTTGTGACTAATGTGTGCTAATATCTGCGAATATATAATAATAATAGTGATAACAATAATAATAGCTTTATTCCTAACAGTACTTTTGTTACAAATATGGAATTTTCAGCATGGAATGCAGTATTGCTTCTAATCTTCTCAATAAAAGGGCAATAATCAACATAGGACATTCACATTATCATCATATCCTTTAATTCCTAGAGGAACATATGGCTGCAGCCGCGCGTCTCCTTTGCGTTCGGTTTTCTGCCAACATTTTCACCCCTCTCCAAGTCTGCCCACATGCTTTCACCCCCTCTTCGCATGATCTCCCCCAAGTCACCCTCACCCTTGGACGACCAACTCGCCGCTTCCCATTCTATCGGGTTCCACTCGAGCAATGGCTTCTCTAGTGATGTCACTTGATCGTTTCCTCACGCCCTCGATGTGTGTGTGGTTATCTTCTGGGTGACCGGAATAGATCACTGACTCACCCATCGACAATTCGGTGAGTCCATTCCCATTCCATCTGCTTTCACATATTCCCAGCACTTGGATTCCGTATCTTTTCATCTCGTTTGCGATCTGGGCAGCTTTCCCAGTCTCGTACATAGTGCGGACGTTCCATGTCCCCACACAGACTTTTTCTTTTGGTGCAAGGAGATTCATCGGACTGAAGTTTCAGTTGCAACTTTGTTTACAAGGTGAGTTTGCTAGCCTCACACCTGAGAAAGGAAATGTTACATTAAGATAAAGTATAGAGAGAAGCGACCTTTTGGGTTGCTCCCCTTAAAACCGGAAAACAAGGAATAAAACAATCAGAACAATACCAGCAAGAGGAAAATAATTCACAACAAAAAGGGCAACAAGCGATAAAAACAATAAAAATGTCACAGTTGAGCACAGTTAACCAAAATGATACCAAAACCATAGACTCACTGACTTGGGCCAAATTGAACATATAAATTCAACAATATATACAATTACAGATATCAGTTAGTGTTAAAAAGTCACAAAATGCCAAACAGTTAGTAACAGGCATTAATAGTCAACAAGATTAAATCCACAGATTTAGTGTTCGAAAGTAAACGAATTGCGGTAATTTCCAGAATTTCGTGGTCAGAAACACCAGATAAATGAGAGTTTTATGTAACTAAGCAATTGTAGCGCACTAATCGAAAAGCGCGGGATAAACATTTTGGCTTTTACATTAATAACAATAATTTAAACTAATAATACTGTTCATTAAGAAGTGAATATAAAATTAAATCAAGTCGATGTTCTGGCGACAATGTAATAATGACAACAAAGAAGAAAACAATGTCGTTTACGTAGAGTTGAACAGTAAGCTGATAATTTCCTACCTTACACTATTCTAATCACACAAACTGTGTGTGTCTGCCAAATAAGGTATTGTACAACTTTTGTACCTAGTCATTTAAGCAAAATAGTATTTTATAGTTGCTGTTAGTTCTACCACATGAGATGCAAGGAAAGAATTGTGTATGGCGAGGATGTTCAAAGTCTGATAGGGTGAAATTAAAAAGTCTTTCTTAAATAGCCCAGGAACGATTAGGTTGGCAGGAGCAGTATAGAAGTATAGGCAGAATACAAGAATTAACAAACATTAATAGTAGAGACAGACTGAGGCCAGATCTTCCTAACTGCTTTACTCAGAACGTCAAACAAAAATTCATTCTGGAAACTAACATCATGTGCGAAGACTAGGAAAGGTGATCAGGGAAAGCGAACAGTCTAATGTATTTACCATTCCATTTTACTTTCAACTTCAGTGCCATCGATGACAGAGAAATCTTGCTAACTAACCAGTTCAGGGGACTTATGCTTGCGTTATAGAGTGAAACTAACCACATGAAATTCCACATAGTAACGAAGGAGATAATAATAGTTGGCGACTTGATATGAAATTTTATTATTATTATTATTTTTGTTCCCTTGGGTTCCTAGTGGAACATAGGGCTTCAACTGCACTTCTCCACTTGCTTCTGTCTTCCTTCGGCTGTACTTTTCACCTGCATCCATATTAGTCTATGCTGCTTCAACTCCTTTTCACACGATCTCCTCCATGTCACCATTAGATGTCGCACTCGCCGCTTCTCTGTCGGGTTCCACTCAAGTAATGGCCTGACGCGCGCGCCATATCACCCACCAGTCTCCTCAGTGATTGTTCAGTCCATCTCCACTTTCTCCAGCATATTTGTTGGGCGGCGATTAGTTCTTGTTTTGTCTGTCCCCATAGTTTCTTGTTGGTGATTCTTTCCGGCCCGGCCATCTGATCTTCAGTATTGAGTGAAGACAGCTGTTGATAGCACGTTGGAAATATTCTTTGTGACCCGTCAGCCAAGTTTCTGATTCGTATAGAAGAACTGACTTGACGTTTGTATTGAAACTTCGACCGAATTTTTTTGTTGATCCTGGTTGAGTGACGGATATTTCGAGATTGGTTTCAGGTTGATGAATGTGTTCCTCGCCTTCCTGATTCTCGCTCGATTCCACATCCTCGTCCGTTCCTCTTGTAGTTGAGACAATGCTCCCTAGATAAGTGAATGAAGTGACCTCTTTCAAATGGTGTTTGACGCTGGATGTTTCTGTTGTTGTTGGTTGGTTATTTTCATCACCTCCGTCTTGTCTATGTTCACCTGGAGTCCAGTCTTTGCTGCTTCTTTGACTAGTTTGTCGGTCGGCTTTTGCTTGTATGTCTTTGATTTTGTGTGACATCAAACATAAATCATCCACGCGCGAAATCCAGGTCTATTAGGTTCTTCACGTCGGTCCAAGATATCCCTGTCTTCTTCTCATTTCCAACTGTCTGACGCATAATCCATTCCACCACCACAATTAGGAATATCATTGGTGATGGATAATAAGCACCCTTGTCTGACTCCTATGTTTATTCCAAACGCCTCTCTGAGTTTTCCGTTGTGGATCACTTGACATGTGGCGTTGTCGTACAGTTGTTGAATAAGGTTGGTGAATATTTCGGGTACACTATAGTACTCGAGTAGTTTCCAAATTACTTCGCGGTCAACGCTGTCTGTCGAAGGCCTTCTCAAAGTCTATAAAGTTGAGGTACAGGGAGGTTTGATTGCCATTGCATGCTTTGTTCTGTGATGATGTTGCGTAGAGTTACAATTTGGCCAGAACATGAAGGTACGAATATAGATTACAATGGGCTTAAAGTCAAGATTGC